CCTGTGTAGCCTATTCTTTTGGAAATTTAAAGTTGTCTTAATTGTTGGCTACACTATTGGTAAGCTCCTTGCCTTTCCAAAGGAAGGAGCTCGTGGCAGCCAGCTTGGTGACGGTGAGCACGCCTGCTGCAGGCGTGGGCTCAGCCCTGGCTCAGGCTGCCGAAGCTGTGGCCGGTGGCTGCTGCTGTTCATCTCTTGGGTTGTGTGCTCGCAGGGATTGCTTTAGTCAGCTTGGCTAAAGACTCCAAGACTTCTTCTGAAACTCAGTGTGAAGCAACATACTGTTGTAATAGAATGATAGCTGGAGAAATTATGTGGCAGAAATAGATGATGAAGGGAGTGGAGCATCTCCCTTATGAGGAAAGGCTGAAGGAGCTGGGTCTCTTTAGTTTGGAGGAGACTGAGGGGTGACCTCATAAATGTTTATAAATATGTAAGGGATGAGTGTCAGGAGGATGGAGCCAGGCTCTTCTCGGGGACAACCAATGGTAGGACTAGGGGTAATGGGTTTCAACTGGATCACAAGAGGTTCCACCTAAGTTTGAGAAGAAACTTCTTCTCAGTAAGGGTAACAGAACACTGGAACACACAGGCTGCCCAGGGAGGTGGTTGAGTCTCCTTCTCTGGAGACATTCAAAACCTGCCTGGATGCCTTCCTGTGTAACATCATCTAGGTGTTCCTGCTCTGGCGGGGGGATTGGACTAGATGGTCTTTCGAGGTCCCTTCCAGTCCCTAAAATTCTGTGATTCTGTGAGCTTTTGGAAGAGAACGCTTTGAGTTGCGTTGTGCGATGTGGGGAAGTTCCGTGGAAGGCTGCTGCTGGTCGCTGTGGTAGGGCAAGACTGCGGGTGTGTTCCAGTATCGTCTCATCACCTGGCATCACCACGTGCCAGGGCAACAGAAAGAAGGATAAATGTGCCAGTGTTTTGGGCTTTGTTTGTTTTTTCTTTCCAGGGAGAGGAAGATAAGGAAGAGAGCATGAACACAATTTTAATAGGAGACTATAAACTAGGTAGAAGTGTTTTTCTGAAGCTGAAGAAAGAAAATGAGCACAAGAGTCATGATGCAATCTATGCTAATTTATGAAGATAAGGGTAGTGATCACTCTTGAAACATGTATATATCTATCTTTTTAGTATGTATATATTTAGTGGAGAATCAGTTTCTGGTCATGAGGCTCTAAGAAAGGCACAGATCTACTAAATGTAACTGCTTGAAAGTTTCTGACTTCTTATTCTGTGGTGCTTTGTTGTTGATATCTGCCAAAGATGCAAATAATTAATTTGGAGGTCACAGTAGGTTTTCTGGGATGCTTGCATACACGGTGAGTCAGTGCCAGAGAACTCTGCTGTGAGGCAATGCCAATGCATGTTCCAAGCTGAAAGGACATTTGTGGTAGGCGGTACTTGCTCCCTTCCCTGTTTCTGTAGCACCAGTACCTGCCCGGCTCGTGGGAGTCAGAGCAGTGATGGCTCCTGTGTTTTCTGCCATACGATGCTCTCTAAACATTTGGGTTTACAGTTGCAGAGTCTAAGGCCAGTTGTGCTGTGTAGGTACTGAGGCAAATGCTTGTGTGTATTCAGATACTTATTTTTAATTAATGCAGAAGAGCGAGTTTTGAGTTGTCAGCTCAGTTTTTTTGAGTAACAAATGGTTAATTCTCAGGGAGCTACCAGGTGAAATGGAGAGATGCAGTTTTTCCCATGTATTTTTTTTTCCTTACAAGCTTGGCATTAGATATATTAAAACCTTTTTTATACAAGAAATGTTTAATAGTAATGTTTCAAGACATGTAAAAGCTGCAGCATTAGGCCTAATTGTAGTGAACATTTTATGTAGGAGTACCTTCTGTGTGTTCTGCTAGCAGGAGTTTAAATGTCTATTGGAGGACTGACACTTGGAGACCACAATTTAAGCTGATTTTAGTGCCTGAAGTGAAAAGAGAATGATCTCCTCCCACTCCTTAATCTGCAGGATAAGATTCTTCCTTGCCACTTGACACAGCAGGTGAGCCTGTACTTCTGGTTCAAGGCAAGGACATTGTGCCTGTCTCCCAGCTTTATGTTCAGCTCTCACTTTAAGGGCACAGCATAAAACTCGCCTTTGCTATTTTGTAGATTGGTTCTTTACCAATGTTCTTATTTGCATGTAATTTTCCTCCTTTGGATTCATATTGCTTTGGAATAAAATGTTACCAGTGTTTCTGTAGTGGGGATTTTTGTTGGTTTTTTTTTCCTTATTCTCCATGTCAGTTCCTTGAGCATGTAGTAAATTTAGTAAATGTCCTAAAGCCAAGTTAATGTGGGAAAAAGACTTGCAAACGCTCTTGATCTGCTTAACCCATCCTGTTGACTGTGACTTAGGCCCCTTCTTCACTTCCTAGGATTTGGTGCCCTCAAGTCTGATCCGGGTCAGTGGGTCCCACAGCACCGCTGGCACGTGGAGTTGTTTGAAGCCTTTTAAAAACCCAGGCAGTGCAGGAAAAACTAGGAGAAAGCAGAATTCTCGTGGCTTGAATGAGAGTAGGGAGACTGACTATGAAACTTTGTGCTTATATACACAGGGAAGAAATTAAGGAGGTTTGTGGTCATTAATCTGTAATTTACACAACCAGTGTGAAGATGCACAGGAAAGTATGGAGAGGGACAATGTTGAAGGTGGTTTTAGCAGACTCTGGATTTCTGCCATCTAACTGTGCTTTCTTGGCTTGTTCTGTCCTGTTCTAAAGCTATTTCTATGAAAAAATTTGGTTTTGTGGAAAAACTTAGGTGATGAGGAAACCAGGAAAGCAGTCTGCTACTGATGCTGTGGACAAAACACATTTTTTGGTCATGCCATAGTACAGGAAATTGCTGTTTTAAGGCATTTGACTGCTTAGATGTCATTTGACCCTAAGCTCTTTGCAGGGGGCATACCTGCAATAGAGATTATTGTTTTAAAGTGTTTGCTTTCTCCTGGAACATACTGTCTAAGGACAGTACACCGATGAGGAATCAGTCCCTTTAGAGCAGAGCTGTTGCAGTGCGTGTTAGCTAACAGATAACCAAAACATTCCAGGTTTTAGAAGAAATTAGAACAGTCAGGGTGATGCACTTGGCTTTCCCTGTGCTCCTCTCCAGCACCCTCCGTGGTGTCTGACCCCAAACAAGGGCCTCCTTGTTATCGTGTCCGTTGGCAATCTGCGTCCTGGACACACAAGACCTCTTTGCGTGTCTCGTGTTGTGCCCAACAGGAATATGCGCTCTGCCAAGGCTGAAGCATTGGGATTTGGAAAAATAAGACTTCCATGGTGCTGCCTCGAAGCGTGGGTGAAGCAACGGCGGTGAAAGTTAAACAGCTACGTGGTAACTGCTGCGTTTAGAACAGCGGTATTTGGTTTCTGTAGATGGATGAAGGGCATTCCACGTGTGCAATGGAGAAACAGAAGATCGGAGTTGGTATGCAGTCTTGGGAGCTGTGGGAGGGTTTTGTTCATTTTCCTCTTTGTGTATTTGTTTGGGGTTTTTTGTGTTTGTTTGGTTTTTTTTTTTTAGTAAAAGGTAAGCAAGTGATCAGTTGTTTTAAACGTGGATCCTAATTATTCCCCCTGTGCTTGTAGTAATAGGAATTGATTCTTCTGAGCTCTTAAGCTGGGTTCTGCAGTAGTCCTTCATGACCATGAAGGGGAACCTGATCAGGAGGGCAGGGATTGAAAGTTATACACTCTTCTTGCCAGCCTTGGGATCTCGGTTCACCTGAGGTGAAGAGCGATAGGGTTGGCAGGAATCCACTGACTATTCCAAAATTGAGGCAGACTGCCCTGCCGCCTGGTGAGCAGCTGAAGGATTGGAGTCAGAGTGACGTACAGTTCCCTCCGGGTTGTACCCAGAGAGTTGGTGTTGGTGCTTATTCAGCATCAGTGCTTGTCTGGGAAGATAAGCAGGACGGCAGCTGAGGACCGGAGCTGTGATACCTTTCCTGCAGGTACAAAGCTGGGTGGTCAGCAGGGAACTGGGGAGAATAAAGCTGCAGTTTCCTTCTGGGTTTGTGTAGACATCAAGGTGTTTTTGAACAAGAAGGATTTCTTGCTTTAGGTGTGCTAGGAGAGATGCAAGAAAAAAAAAACTAGCGTATTTTCTGTTTTCACATGGATTTGCAAGACTGATCAGTTCAGGGCAGTTTTTTACTTAAAATTTAGACGTATGAGAGTGGCTGTAGTGCTTTTGTGTATTATTAAAATGGTTGAAGGCAATGGAACACCATTGTAGAGCCAGCAGTGCATTTATTAGGGCCTGTGAATGGTGCAGGACTCTGGGGAAACATTAAAAATCGAGAAAACAACCTGCAGAGATCCTCTAATGCTGGTGATTATTTGTGCAAGAAATTTTCAGAGTTTTAACCAACTGACACGGTGCTACACACAGGTGAAAGACATACAACGTCGATGCTTTTTGTAACTGTACTTCATCAGTTAAGGGAAAAATTAATCCTTAGAAGAACAGTTTTTCCTGTAGTTAATGCTGTTCACTTTTATTGTGATGGTAGATGCCCAGCTGTCATCCCAGGTGAATATGTGACCAGCCATGGAGGAAGGAGGTTGGGAAAGCGAGAGGTCCCAGCTCTCAGCTGGGCTGGGCTCTGGGCTGCTGCAGAGTCTAGGGAGCAAATGTTGCATGTGCGTCCCAAGAGCGTGGCAGATACGTAAACAGGAATGCTGTGTTGTAGCTGCTCATGTGAAGGAGGTCTAGAATGTAAATGCTGCTTTCGCTTTATGTAATGCTGCAGGGCTTTGATGTGCACTTCTTTGTGTTTGCGTTCTGCTGTATATTCTGTATAAATTATTTTTTTTCCTTTCAGAGTGAGTTACGGAACATTGTGTTGCTATTTATTCATTCATGCTAGCTTTTATTTCCTTGTTTCTTTCCCTTTTTCCCTAGATCTATCAGGTTCAGAAGGTAGGGCTTGCTCTCATTCATTCTTGTTTGCATGTTTTCCCCTGTTATGAGTCTTGCTAGCATTCCAGAAAAACCTCTGAAGAGTGTGGAAGATGCACAGCAGGCTTTGTATTTCCATGTAATTCCCCCCTTCCCTTCCACAGTCTTGTGGGCTAGATAATAATAAGGAATGAGGGAAGATGACCCCTGTAAAATGTGTCTGGTCAGGCACTCTAATATATTACTTTCTACAGACTCTTTGGCAAAGAGGTAAGCAATAAGCAGAAGAGTAATTGGACAAACCAGCCATTGTAGGAGAGTCTTGGTGACATGTGGAGCCACCATAACCATCCAGGCATTTGTGTGTTGAAGGCCAAGAGTATCGCTGGAAGTATTTCAGGCTGGGCAAGCATTTAACAGGTGCCAGCAGGAGCAATGACTTTCGGATGACTTTGTTTGCAGAAAGTCACTGAAGTAAATCAGGGATGATGGGTTTGAATTTATAATCTCTTGGTAAATAAACTGTATGGCCTTTCTTCCAATGTGACCTAAGCCATTATAAATGCTTTTATATCGTTTAATCCTCTCTCACCTCAGTTTAAAGTCATGATCTTTTCCTTCATCTGAATTTCCAAATGATGGCAATGATGATAATGATAATAATAATAGCCCTAACTGAGGTCACTTGCCCTGTAACAACAGAGTTTGGGGTTTTGTGTTACAACCTTTGGCTGCTCTATGCTTCCAGCATGTGGACTGTGGGATACCTAAGAGGAGAAATAACTCCAAAGAGATTTTGCAGGGAGGGAGGAAGCATGTATTTCTTCAAGCCTGCCATTTCGTACCTTGTTAAATATTTATTTTTTCCTGAGATATTCTTATTGCTTGCTGATTGATAAGTGTCTCCTAAAACCTCAGCCTGTTTGTTCTTGTTCTGACACTCCAGCTGCCTTAGCTGCATGTTTCACTCGCTTGACCTAGCAGCGTGTGTGCTTCTTGGAAATGCTGTTCTCCCCTTTAAGTGCGTACGTACATATGTAGATACTCAAATCATGTGCTCCGGTATTTAATCCTGACCCCATCAATTTGGCAACAAATATATCTGACCCTTGTTTTTATTTGTGGAGTTGACTGCGTACTGAGTGCCTCCAAATTAACGTCTGCCCGTGCATCAACAGACTTGTTATCAGTCTCCTTTATAAAAACTAATTTGATCTTCTGGTACGGACGCAGCCCCTTGGGAGACAAGGAGGTTGTTTACTGTTGGTGTCCTGACATGGATGAGAAGATAAGTGGGTTAGCCTCACAACATCCCGTAGCGAGTTTGCAAGTCCAGCGGTTTCACTTGTCACTTGGTGAGCAAATCTGCCGTGGAATTCTCTCTCAGTGGTATTAACGTCATTAATTATTTAATTGAACTATCACTTTTCCAGGGTAGAAGGCAACTTGAGTCTGGCAAAGGCCTCCATCTAAAAACCACATGAATGGATAAGCACCTTCTGTGTGCGACTGTTTAAACCAGGCACTTTGGGTCAAACAGAAGAGTCGGGAAAGAAAAATACCTGAGACTTCAAATGCTGCCAGTCTCTGTCCAGTGAGATGTGCTGTTTAAAAGATTTTAAGTTAAAAGCAGTCTCAAAGTAATCACACTCGTTAACATTTTTATTTTGGGGATATTAAGAAGATAGCTGTGTGATTTTTAAAAGGTAAAAGAAAAGATTGTGTCACAACTGGACTTGTGACACAACAAGGCTTTTCAGGGCTATTTCCTTATCTCCCTTTTGCAAAACTGAATTCAGAAGCCTGTGTCCAGCAAGTAAGGAGAACAGAGGAAAAGCAAGCAGCAGACCTTACAAAAATTATCATCATGATTATGGATCCTTCCCCTGTGAGAAAAGATTCTCCATTTTTGTAGTGTAGTGTTTTGTTAAAATTGATTTATAGTATTAGAAAATGTTACACATCTCTTAGAGGGGGGGAAAAAGCCTCTAATAAGGCTTTACCTGACCTGATTTACTACAAAGCATATAAGCTGTAGGTTCTGATCATGTACACAATCCTGACCAGCTGGAGTTCAGGTAATTTCCAGGGGTCATTTTCAGGATGTCATGTGCATAAAACTTGAGTTCACAAGAGGCTGTTGTACATGTTATGCTTCTGCCTGGAAATAACTAGTCTGACCGACTGTGAGGAAGTGTGTAATGCCTGAAGAAACAAAGGTTCATGGCATGCACTCTTAATTTCACATAGTTTGAAGGAGAAATTTCACTGGTGTGCAAATTGACTTGGCATTGTGTAGGGTATCAGATGCGTTTGAGCACACTCTGAGATGTTTTACAGGGAAAGCCAAGGGGAATATTTCCCTGTTCTCATAGGGATGTGGTTAAAGAGCCCGTTGAACTGTTGTCTGTTTTCCTTGTTCCCGAGAGATGTTTGCATACTATCTAAATCTGCAGTGAATTCATTTCTTGTTTTCAAATTATTGGCCTGAAATCTTATTTTCTGATATTTTTCCTGATGAATGGGATTGCTGCGAGCTCCTGTCTTTTCCCAGTTTGACCACAAAACTGGTAGCATTTAAAGGTTCTTTTACAATTTGGGCTATCCAGGATGTGTAATTGAGCACTCCACTGCTTATTTTAATTCACAGCAGACTTTCTTCTCTCCAGGGCTGTTAAGATGAAAATGAAGATGACCTTAATGAATTTGTTGTTTAGGGAGATAAACTGATACAGTATCAAAGAACATACAACTGTTTGTTCAAGTTTCTTAATAAATAGCGAATGAAGTTCTTAAGTGTGAAAGTAAAATTACATTAATACCATTGAGTGAGTGCTAACTGCAGAGTAAATAAATACAGAACAGGTTTCTAATTTTTTTTTTTGATCGTTACCGAAGGTTTGACTGTTGGTACTCCTGCCTCATCAAGCCTCTAGGAAAGCTGGCAAATCGAGCTTGTACAGGCTTGTTTTTTCCACAACTCCACGAACCTCAAAGCACATAACCTAAATTTTTCTAAAATACATATTATGCTTCCTTAAGCAGGATTTCCATTTGCTGATTTACTGCGCTTTAGAGGGGCGATTTTTCTTCACACAGAAATGTTATGGTCACCACTATAAACACAAACTTCCCGTGACTAGATTTGAAGCACGTGTTTGGGGAGGAAGGAAAGTCCTGCTAAGCCTGTGAACCTTTGAAAGACTTGCTGTCTGGTGGAAAGGCCAGTTGGTTGGGAAGTTCCCAACGTGTTGTGCAAAGTATGAATTGAGAAACGGTTCAGAAGAGACACTCTGCTGAGAAATTGTGTGGCATTTGGTACTGAAATGCAGAGCGCTTGCCAGCACTGGAGAAACATTTCCTCTTCTGTCCTTTTTGGTGCCACCACCGCTATCAAGATGGTCAAGGTGTAGGCAAAAAGCCTTTGGGCTCTGCAAAGTTGCTCTGAGGAGTTCTGAACCCAACAAATAAGAACACGCAAAGATTAGTTGTATTGTATTCAACTTGTCTTCCCAGTTTGACAAATCTAGACCGTAAACATGATTTGACAGCATTTTTCATCCTGAAAGTGTTGTGCACTCAGATCCCTTGTAACGAGTCTTGACTTAAATGGGTCAGGAATTCAAGACTCATTACGCTCCTTGCTCCTGTCTCCACAGCACTGTGGAGTGTTTGGTTTTGGTTTTTTGGTTTTTGGTTTTTTTTTTTGGTTGAGTTTTGTGTGTTTGTGTTTTTTGGTTGGTTTTTTTTTTTTCCTGCTGTGAAAGAAGCAGCTGCCAAGTACCCCAGCTGTACCCCGAGTACCCCAGCTGTACCCCAACCACCCCTTGCCAGGCACCTTTTCCTGGGCACGTGCTGTTGGAGGGCTCTGGGAGCACTCGGCACAGCTCTTCCCAGGCATGTTTGTGTGAGTGTGGAGCTGTGTGGCTCAGCCAAAACCTGGCAGTGCATGTCTAAATGTTCTGTGTTTGCCTCTCATCTAAATTCTGTTTTTTCCCTTTTCTGTCTGTAGAAATATTATGGTCTGGATACTAAATGGGGAGACATCGAGCAATGGATGGTAGGCCTTGATCAACGTAGCTAAGCAACTTTTGTGTGGTACAGTTCTGCATAAGTCACAGTCTGAAGTCCTGCAGATTAGATATTTTCATGTATTGGAAGTGTGAATTCCACTCTTGTCACAAGAATTCTTGCAGTCCTCATCAATACCTGAAATATGACTTTTGATCAGCCTGAAACTGGCACGGCTTTGGTTAGAGCCAACTTTTGACAGACCTGTCTCTATCACTTGGAGATTAGATTAGCGTATAGACCTGTTAAAGCCACTTGTGATACAAGGAATATATGTACTAATCTCTTGTGGATTTTGTTAAAATTGAAGTCTTCTCAAATCTGCCCTCAGACAACTTCGGGGCAAATTTTATCCATGCTTCTTCAGTTACCTTTGTACCTACTGGTCCGGATGCATTATTACTGCAATTATTACTGGCAATACTTGCTTTTTCCCTTAATAAAATGTCCTGGATTTTACTCTTTGTTAAGCTGGGGAAGTTGATGCCAGATACAGACTTAGCCATTAGCAACATCTGAGTGTTTTAACACCCATAATATAAGATGAAGAATTTGCTAAAAGGCCGGAAGATGTTGGCTTCGAGTTTCTTTCAAACGTGAGTTTATGAAATTGTTTACCAGTGATTCCAGATCAAAGCTCCTGTTTGTGGCCTTGCCCTACAAGCTCGGTAGCACACTCTGAAAAATAGGAAGCTGAGCAGCTGATTTCCACACTAGAAGATTAACTTCTCAAATTCTCTGACTTCTTCCACCCTTGATAATTAAATGGCGTAAGTGCTGGTTTGCTCTAAGCCTTCTTGAAAGCCCTCTGCTGTATGGACCAACCACCCACCCAAGATGCTCCAGTCTCACAGATAAGCCATTAAATCTCTTCAAATCCTTGCTTGGTGAGCTGAGCTCCATGTTGCTAGTAATTGCCTTGCTTAGAAATCAGTTCAGCTGGGAGAACTGTTAACTGCCACGAGGAAACTTTTATTCCTGTTTTAAACCACTGTTTCTAAATTCCATGCAAAATTAGTTTCTTGGAAATGTGATGTGTCCTACAGCGTTCCCAGCGTTTTACACAGCCTTTGGTCTGCAAAAGGCAGTGGTGCTGGGTGTCACGGAGCCAGTAGATGCTTTTGGTGTGGAAGAAGGGGCAAGCTGCGCCCCTCTGGGCCGCTCACTAGAGAGGCCATTGCCCTGCTACGTTATTTCAAATAAAAGAATTTTTTTTTTTTTGAGATTTATTTGTAGGGACTGCAAACTGGAAAGCTGAATTACAAGAGCACTGTAAGTATACCTATTCCTAGGTGCACAGAGATGCACTTGAAACATTTTTTGAGATAGAAATAAAGGCATCGCAGCATAACAGTTTTCTGTGAAAGAAATGAAAGCGTGTAGCAGAATAAAATAGAGAGGAAGAAGGTTGGGGTCACAGATGAGGGGAAAAAGGATTTTCTGACTTGACAAGGTGTCACCTTCCATTATTTGGTTTAACCTTACTGACTCCTAAACATTGCTCAAGTTCGCTGTGTCTTTCTGAAAGCATTCTGTTGGTGTATCTGTCCTTTCAACACTTCACTCTTTGTTTTTTCTCTGCTGCCTTGGTAGGAAGACAGTGAGCGTTATTCCCGTAGAGCCCGAAGAAATGCCTCGGTTAGTATCTGCTTTTGCTTTTTTTCTTTTTAGCTAGACGTTTCAGGTTAAGAAAACAGATGTGTATAGGGCAGTTCCTTTTCAAAAGGGAAAAAAAAAAACAAAAAAAGCTCCCCCCACCCTGGGCAAATGCCAACCCCAAATCCCCTTCCAGAATTCTGCACTGTCTCTGGTCACTAGAACAAAGGGGGGCAGGGGGAAATAAGCTGCTTGGAGTGTTTAATGTTCATTTATTCAGACCATGGGCCAAGGGCACAGAGCAGGCAACACCCGAGCAAGCTTGTCGTTCATTGTGTAGTTTAATGCTTGAGCAGGGGATGATTTCATTTACTTTCTGCTTAGAGTTTTAATGTGATTCTTTTTTTAAAGACATTTATTTTGTATGTCTCTTCTTTCCTTCTGTTACATCAAAGCCACCAGCATTTTCCTCCCTACCTGTTACTTGTGTTCTTTTCATTGTTTTCTTTTCTTTTATACTTTCTTTCGATAGGCTTCGGATGAAGACGAGCGCATGTCAGTGGGTAGCCGTGGAAGCCTGAGGGTTGGTAAACTGTACAATTTCAGTGTGCATGTGTGTGTACCGGTGTTGCTGTCCCCCTGCACCCCCAGACTGATTGTAGTACTCTAATAACATCATCCTTCCATCCGAGGTCTTGACACGTTTCATGTTCAAGGCGTGGGTTATTCTTGTTTGTTGGGTTTATTGGGTTGGTTTTGGAGTACATGCAGGTCAATAATTCTTTCAACCAAGGGAATCATCAGATTTGTATGCACTGTGTGGAAACATCAGCAGAGCATGCAGCTACAGAAACTTCGGTTTTCTGTTCACTGTTATTGTTGCAGAAGGTGCTTAGCCAAAACACTGATGTATGCAGCCATTTCTTGTATGCAGCTCCTGTTTTTCACTGCTGATACTGAGAATTTGGGAAGAGGAAGTGCTAGCTCACTCCATGATCAGCATTTATTAGCTTGAGAAACCAAACTCAAATTATTAGTGGGAAAAAAGTCTGAAGCACTTTGAAATTACAGGTTAACCCTTTTGTCAAAACTGCTTTATATATGTTTAAAATTTGCACACTTGAGTTCTGTAGAGGGAAGGATTAGTAGAGCACAGAGTGCTGTTGCACGCTAGTGCTGTACATCTGTAGGAGAAATTTTAAGTTTTCTCCTCAAAATATCCCTACTTTTTTCCAGATAATACACATGTACAAAGCTTAACTCCATTCTAGCATAGACATAATCAACTCGTGTAATCGCGAAGGCAGTTTAAACCGTTCAGTAGTTGTGAACAGCTAATGCTATTGTCTCAGCATGTGTTGATACTCTTCAGAATATGATCCGAGCTCACTGCTTCCGAGACCTGGGGAGAAGCGTTTAGCTGAGCGCAGGCTGAAACAACCCGTAGGAGGCTTTCAGCAGTTCTGAATGAATCAACTGCGACTAGTTTTTGTTACAGAGCCATTGTGCCTAAAACTACTGTGTCTGAGAATAATATGTTCTTTTACTGATGTTCTAAATTTATCAGTAGCGCTAGTTATGTGGGTTAAGCTGGACGACCAATTCTGTCTATAGAACAAGCAAGACCTATATCATCATTAATAGCAAGATCTTTATTTGTAATCATTGATTGCTGACTTCTGTGGTGATTTCACACCATAAAAATACTACTTTTTTGTTTCCTCCTTAACAAACGTGCTAGTAGTTATCTAGACTTAAAGCTACCCTTTTTTTTTCTTTTCCTCCTGACAAAGAATCACCAATTGATTGAGTGGATTGAGTGGAACACCTCATATGCCTCTCAAAGTCTGCAAGATGATAAAAAAATAAAAACTACTGCTGCAGAACCTGCTCGTTGATCCTGATGGAGTTCACTGTAAAATAGCACAAGATGTACTTAAAATTTTTAAGTGTTGCCCTTTTCGCTTTTAGTAGAATCTTTATTGTTACTTAGGAAATGCTATTAAGATCTTTATTATTTAAGATTACAAACTTGGAAATCTGGAAAATGCCTTAAAGCTCCAAAAATTAAATGAAGAAAAGCTTATCTTCACAGCTGAACGTGGAACCTCATGTTTATTTTACTTTAGGTTAAATCAGGATATGTTTATGTTTTTTGGAGAGGAAAAAAAAGTATCTTTAGATCAGTTGAAATTTCATTTCTTTTTACTTGGACAATGATTATTATTCAAATGGATTGTTTAACCATGGCTGTAACTGCATGTCCCTTGACAAGATGCAAGCACACTGGCACTGTATGTATAGCAGGAGCCCTGTTCATCCTGAACACTTCTTATTCATGGAAACCCACCACCAATTCCTTCTGATGTGTTTTTGTAGTACAATTCTGTGTTGTAATGTTGCATATTTAAACAGCAGAAGCCTTGTGACCTGTTTTCCCCACTATCCCTTGAGAAGAAGCTTTCCTGACCCCTTTTCCTGGAGCGGGCGGTCTCTGGGCTGCCAGCGTGCCCTCGGGCTACGATAACCACTGCTGCTCATAAATACCTAAATGGCCTATAAATACCTAATACTTCGGCAAAGAATGTCCTTTTCTGACAGAAGGATCTACTTGACGCTTTTCACCCTTGTGTTTCTAGTGACATTGCACAGACTCCAGTTGTGAAGTACAACCTTTAGCAAGCTGCCGCTTGGGCGCGCACAGGAAAAGAGTTTTGACAGAGCTTCCTTCCCTGATCAAAGTGTCACTGGGATTGTAGAAGGGAAATGTTTGCTAGTCTGAACTGAAATTTACCCTTAGACATATTTTAGTTTTTCTGTCACAGTGAAATGATAGATAAAACACCCATTGTGAGTTTATCGTAGGTGCTTTTAATGGTTTGACCATATATCTCTCTGGCTATTCGTGAAGGTTGGGCTCTTGCTGTGTGTCTTCAAAAAAAACCATTAAGTAAATAAACCAAAACCAACCAAACAAAAACCCCACAAACCAAACAAACCCCGAAACAACCAATGACTAACTTAAAAAACTCTACCTCTGAGGCCTTAGAGTTCTGTTTGGCTTCTCTGAGCTATTTTAGCATGAAAAAAAGCACCAAAAACTATTGCCTCGTGTCCACGAAAGGTTTATAAAGTTAGTCAGAAAATTCTGAATCCTCTTTCTTTTTTGGGGGGGTAGGAGGGGAGAGATGGGAGGTTATTTGCGGGCTACTTCCACACTTGCAGGATATAATTGGTGTCCAAGACTCCCATTCTCTGAAAATCTTCTATCTTTGGCACTTGGGCTCATTGCAGTGTGAGGGGCTGAAGATATTAGGGGTTGCTTTTTGCAGCTGTGCTTGTTTTCCATAAAACAAGTTTTCATTTAAATATCAGAAACATATTTCTCCCTAGAACTTTACCCTAATGTGTATGGGGTTTGCTCTGGATTTTTTACTGGAATATTTTTTAAGTGGATGTCTGAACTGCAGGCACCAGAGATCTGCTGAGCTAGCTTTTGGGTTGCTGGCCTAGATGCTTCTGGCAGGGCAGCCACCAATATGAATTGCAAAACCACCTGAAATGTTGATTAGACCAGGCTAGCACATTGATTTAGGCTCCACAGCTGTCACTATATTGTAAACAGTGACCTAGTGTGTTAAAATGCTGGCTTCAGGAAATCTCTGCCTCCTGGCACTAGACCTTCAGATGCAATGAAGGGGCTGTCTGTAATAGCTTTTCTGTGGCTCATCCTGCACCCATCAAAAGTGTCCTGCCTCTTCTGTTCCAGAAGGTTCTGCAAGCTTGGGTCTCTATCACACAGTTTTTCCTAGGGAAGCTCAGTAACATCATCTTCTGTCTGTTGAGACTCTTCACTCTCATTCAAAGGCTCTTCGTTCTCTTTTCTACTGCAAGTGTCCTTGTTCTCCCACTTTTCAGATGGCTGTCTCTAATGCAAGACCATCCAGCATGAAATATTTTTATTACTAACTCATGATACGGTTTGTGCATTTCTCTTGTTTTGTTTACTCAGAAGTTCTTGACTTCTGGCTTTGTGCAAAAAGTTCTGCATTGTCGAAGTTCTTTACTTGAGATTTACATCTCTGTCACTGTTTGTTTGTTTGTTTGGGGAGATTCTACTGATTGCCATAACTTGCTTTTCAGTGTTTTTCTTTGTATTCTGATTTTTCTTTCCTCTCATGCCTTGACAGTCTCATTTGGAATATGCCAGCACCTACCCCGTGGTGAGAATAGTCTGCAAATTGCAATGTGTGTTTAAAAACTCATCGTGAAGAGGAAACTAACTTCAGTTGTCATAGCTGATCTGAGATAAGGGATGATCTGAAATGATCCTGAGACAGTTTGTGGTCTGTGAAGTAAAGATGCTACTTCCCTCGCCTACTACCCTGGCGTAGTTCAGGTTAAAACCAGCGAATGATTAGAGAGGTCTCAGCTAGGCCTAGTTCAGTAGTTACTGTAGCACAGAGCAGAATGGATTTTATTTCCCCCAACAGACTTTCTCTGTTACAGTCTGTCCATCGATTGACCAAGTATGTCTGGTTTTAATTCAGCATCAGTCTGGAAGGGAATAAAACTCTCATAAACTTGCTCTGAATAGATCCCTATAAAGTAGATCTGTAGGAAAGATCTAGCAAAGGTGATGGGACACCTGCACTGCCAACCAAAGCTGCGTCTTGGGCACTGAGCTTGTTACCTTTGCTTTGGAGGATAAAATGAGACTCTGCAGGTAGTAAGACGATGAGAGCAAGTATTTGCATTGAAAACACTGAGGTAAAGCTGACTCTTGTAAGAACAGAAAGGGCACAGAAGGGAGACTGGGGATTGGGACTTTAAGCTCAGTTAAAAAAATTTCATCATACTCTTTAGCAGTGCTGTCTTGTGGCAGTCCTGTGCTCAAACAGGCGTCTCAGTTTCTGCAGAGAGCAAATCACGGGGAGCAGTTTTGTAGACTTTTTCACTCTTCTTCATGTTCCCTGTGCTATTTCAAAATAGGAGTGCAGTGTATCTATTTGTGAGCGACCTATATACAGAAATAGTTCAAACACGTTTGGGTTTTGCATGGATGTATTGATCTAGTAAGTATAGACAGCTGGTGGCTCTTTTAATTGACATAACTCAGCAAGCGTGAACGATTTTAAATGTGGCTACTAGATTTAACAGCGCTATCATCACTTTTAACAATATTCTTTAATAACTGATCATTTGATGTTGAGATTTGATTATTTTTTTTTTCATGTGTGCTTACTGAGCCGTGTTGTGTAGAGCTGGAGGAAAATTGGAGTAATGTTTTTGCATGATGATATGCATGCCTGGCTATGAATTGGTGCCCATAAACTCGTGGATCTTTTCATCCTGCATTCTTAATCTCACTGCAGGCTGGATTAGAGAATGAGAGGACCAAAAAGAAGAACTACTCCAAAGCAGTATGTATCCTGACTAACTGTCTCAGAGGTTTTTGCGTACAAAAACACAGTGATAGAACAAAGAATATGTGCAAATATGTTGGCTGTGAGAGCTCACCAGCCTAATGTCAAGGATACGGTGTCACTACCAGGACTTGTTGGGTCTGTGAGAATACTGAGCATCACTTCATCTGTAAAATGGGATATAATCCAAACACTTATGTCCGTGTTGTACATAAAGAGTGTCTTGAAAAACTTAAACCTCACCTTGAGCTTTAATGTTACACAGAAATAAGTAATACTGGTAGAAAATATGTATTTGCTAAAGGCAGCATCTTTCATAATTAGAATATAAATATGGTAAAGGCTACGTCTTTTCATAACGGTAGCTCTGTGTAGCATCAATGCCTTACTAGCACCTGTGTGAATAGGGCATTTCTTAGAGCACTGCAAAGCCAGACCTGGGTGGAAGGTAAAGGATAAGGTGTTTTGGTACAGTGAGGATTTGGGGTGATTCTCACTGGGTGCAATTCCAAAGAGAGGGAAGAGTGAGAGAGGGCATGAGAGAGGGCAAAGTGGGGTACTGCTACTGCACAGGGAAGGCTGCTCATTGCAGAAAGAGGTTGTCAGGCTGGGTTGGATTTCTTCAGTACGTTGGAACTCAACAGAGAATTTTCTGAGAAGTGAAACTGAATGTGGGATGAGAAAGCCTGAAGGAGCAGCCACAGTCTAACGTAAAAAATATTACGAGTGTAAATGAACGTAACGGCAATGAGAATTATCTGCATTTGTTAAAAGTAAGAGGAAAAGAAAGAGGACAGAATAGTGCCAATTGCGTGTAAAAGGAGAGTGATAAAATCTGAGTATTTTATTTGTTCTAGTTTTCATGAGGGTTATGATCAGATGCTTAGTGTGTTAGCATAGAAAAAAGCTCAGCGAGGTCTGATAGAACTGTGCCTGCTCTTCAAGAGTTTTCAGGAGGGTTTGCCTTCCAAAATAGTTACTGGAGAGGATGGGTCATAGTGACAAAGGATGTGACCTGAGCTATGGGCTTCAGTTTGAAATATGAAAGATACAATTAAATGAATGTATTTAGAAGTGCCTGAAATATAAAGTGATAAACAATTAACCTGGATTTATAGAAGATTAATTATGTCAATTCAACTTAATTTCCCAAAGCCAGGTAGTTATTTAAAAGACCTGAAGAAAAAACATTAAGCGTGACTGTAACCTGACTGTAAGGCTCTTGGTGTTCCTCTTCATGACATTACGTGAAACCTTGGGCATGCTGTAGTTCTTCTAAGACATGCACAGTTAGTTGAAAAATCACTGTGTTGGAGAATGAGAAGGGATCCCATCTGGTCTGTTTCCATCTAAGACAGCATCATCTGTTCTTAAATGGGGAGAGGGTTCTGCAGGAGCGTTTATTGCCTACTTGTCTAAGTACGGGGAGTGAAAGTGATTTGGTGCAAGGTTAGAATAAAAATACTGATGTTGAACAGGAGGTAACTTGTCAAAACTGAGTAATAATAAAAAAACCTAATGAGGAACGCCACATTTGGGCAAAATGAAATACACTATTACGAAGTAAGGAATTTTGCATAAAAGTGTTTCAGGTAGTCACCTGAGGTTACATTTAGTCAAAACTAAGTTGCTGAAAAAGGCAAAATTAATTGCTCGGTGTAGTAACCAAAGGGGCAGTGGAGGTCACGGGTCTGCACGGTGCCGCTGAGGCTGGAGCGTTGGCTTCGGCTGCCGAAGATTCATTTTAACCATTCTTCAGGAAGTGTTAGAGAAATTCAAGGAGCCTGAAAAGAACTAATAAAAACTGGAAGGAAGCCAAGCTGTGTGTGAGAGGGCTATAGCAGTATTTCAGATCAGTTATTCTTGAAAAAAGAAACGGGATGTTGGTTCTCCATTTGTGGTGATAATACTATGTTTTGGTACAGAGTCTAGGCTTTTTTCCAGAAGTTGCTTTACTAGCTTGGGTCTAAACTGATTTCTAAGTCGATTTGTGTAATTTTTCATGGAAGCCACTGTGTACTGTATGATAAATATTTTACTTGCAAATTGATTCACATTGGGTTTAGCAGATTTTTATTTTGAGAATGCGTTAAAACTTGGACTTCAAAGCTTAATTTAGATAGAAATTCTAATGCAATTTCTACTAAGAAAAAAAGAGAAATCACAAACACACAGAGTGCTTCCTCATTTTCAATGTTAACCACTGTGAAGTGATACCAGAATAGTGAATTGCTTGAGAAATCTGAGCTGTTAATGGTATCGATTGAGGTGGCTTTTGGGTCTGTCCACTTTTCTTCAACATCATGTTTCCAGGCTAAAAACTGCATCATAAGGATGGTTTTATTTTATTCCCGACCCTGCTGCCATAGGGACTTGAAGCATCTCACCCTGCTTGTGATACGCCTGTTTGTTCTCCTTTGAGAGAAAACATGTTAATGACAACAAGGCAGGCTATTGAGCATGACGGAGGACAGCTGAACCGACTGAAATCTTTTTATTAGTCTTTGGGCTGCCCCACAAAATACTGGAGTGTGGCAGATGGTCACTGTCTGTGTTTAATTTTGATGTAATTGGGGAAAGCTAAAAAGATTTCATACTGTGCTGCATCCTTACTAAACTGAATTTCTCAAATATAAACTTAGAATTATTTCTTTTGCTACAATTTGCTGCTTTTTATTTGATTAGCTGCCAGAAATACAAGTATCTACAGTGATAAATTTCTTTTATTGCAGTCTGTCATCCCTAGTGTCCCCTTTTTGTCCTGTGTTCCCTTCACAGAATATTTGAAGAGACAGGTGCTATAGTGCAGTAATAATAGGGGAAGCAAAAGTGTTTCTTAACGAGAAAAAAGAGGGTCAAAAAAGGCAAACAGGAGTATCCTTGACATTTTTGGCTGCTATACAGGTACTAACAGATACACAGATGTTCGTGTCTTCATGTTTGAAATCATGACCTAATCCTGCCCTTCTCCTGTTCCTCATGTGTCTTTTAAAAGTTCTGTCTCTGCCTTTGCTTTTCAGAAGTGATGACTTTTGCTAAAAATTCCTTTTTGGGTCTGCATCAGACTTTTCTCTCCTTTTTTTTTTTAAAATTATCTTTTTTCTTTCTTTTTTTCCCCCTCTTCTTTTTCCTTTCTGTTCCTTTCCTTCCGTAACAGACCAATGGTTATGAGGAAGACGTGTATGGATCATCCCAGAGTAGAAAATCTAGCAGGGTTAGTAGATGATTTATGTTGCTATAAAATCTATTGCTCTATTTAATGGGATTAAAGCTAATTAGCAAATTCTTTTCTGTGGTAAAGCAAGTTTTTCCTGTCTTGCATGTTGTGGGTTTTGCAGCTTGTCAGACATGGAGAGGCAGTAATAAGCTATCTTAAAAAAAAAATTTAAAAAAATTGGCCATGGGTGGGAAGGGATGTCTCTGCATTTGGTATAAGTAGAACATGGAAGCCAGAACTCCTTAACTTGAAAAGAAAATTAGATAAAAGTTAAATTGTAAGAAGAAATGGTTTTGCAGAACCTGACATGGATGATTTCCATGTGCTGGGTGACAGAACGATTGTTTTCCAGCCTGTGCAATGTGTTCCTGTTGTGCTCTGACTCTGAAACTCCCACCTAGAGTTTAGTCCATGTCTTTAGATTTGCCTATATAAAACAGACTTTGGGTTTGGAATTTTCCCCAAATGTGTGTTGTTTATTTGAAGTTTGCTTGACTAAATAATTTATTTTTTTTCCTTTATAAACTGTATCCTAGGGTTTCTGGAAACTCCTACAGAGGTGAACAGCCAGTGCAAGTGTTATTACTTAGCGACTTAACATTGGTGTACTTTATTTCTAGAAATATTCTTGTCAAGAAAAGCTTAATTATTAACTCCATTGTGTGTATGTGGGTCACAATGTTCCCTTCTGTTCCAGCATAAGTATTTGGTGTCAATTATAGGAATTTACTGTCTTGCTTTATTAAATATTAGGATTTGTGCAGATTACATAAAGATATGAGCTCAAGCAGAGTCTCTTTGGTGTGCATGGAGGGGAGCTATTTGGGTTTTTTCCCCTTGGTTTTATTTTAACAAAGATGGTCAAAAGCTCAGGGCCTGTTGATCTTTATGCTACCAAGACTTCTAAACAAATTTAGTGGTATGCAGACTTAAAGCCCTGTGTTTAGGGGAAAAATAAACTACTTTTAAGACTCCATTTAGCCAAGCATTTGAGCAATACATGCTGAGTGTCAGGTAGTCCTCAGTGAGTTACTTTGTGAGCATGAAGTTAAGCAGGTGCTCACATAAATAGTGAAATGAGACCTTATATTTCATGCCCATTCTAAATTGTTGCTTGTATATGTGGATAAGAGAAAATTAAATATTGTTTCTGAAAGTGTTAAGAAAACCGTATGGCCTGTTGGCACTCTTGCTGAACCATTTGACAAGTTCAAGGAACTTAACTATGTAGTACTTCTGACAATTGATGTTCTTACTCTTTAGTGACACACTCCAGAGCTCCAAGCACTGCAGGAAGAGCAAAGGTATCCGCAGGAAAGTCATCCAGGGAGAAGAATTTGTTTGGTTTCCATTTAAATAATCAAAAATCATCTTGGTATTAGGGTTTGCAGCGTAGGGGTTTAGTGTTCTTAGAGCGTAATTATGGCAACATCAGAGTTCATTGCGGTTTTCATTGCTAAGTGTAATACAGATTAATCGTCATTTTAGAAGAGGAATGAGAGTGTGAGGTTGAGTTGGAATAGCTGAAGCTCCAAAGCCAGTTGATGATGGTCCAGCTGGCATTCACTTTTAGGAATACTGTCTGCAGAAACCCCACAATGAAAAATGATAAAAACCATAAGAGGCAGAGTTCTTCAGGTCAGGAAGGAAGCAATGAGGCTGCTGATAAAATAGTTGTTTCCAAAATAGGTGTCCAATTTTGTTACAAAATGGAGTGATGTCTGCATGGAGATGAGTCTTTATACACTGTACTTGCAATATCATGAGTTGATTCCTTAAAAATGAATGCCACGTGCCTAGGCAGTCCACTACCACCATCTCCCTAGGTGGGAATGAGAGTAATTCAGTTCAGTTCAGTTTGTTCAGACTTCTCAGTGAAATTCTATCCAGGAAGAACGAGGCAGGAAGGGATCTAAATTTGTGAGATTGGACAATGCTTTATCCTTGGTGTACACCTGTGGGTGTTGTGTCTTACCAGACAGATCCGTTTGCCCGCAGTGACACAAGTCTAGAGTCAGGAGCAAACAAGTTTCTTCAAGATGCTGCAGTTCTCCCGTGTCTGTAGATGGAGTTAACACTTACAGTAATTTATAATGATGATGCAAGGGTTAGTTAGGGCTTGCAAGAAAGCTGAGTAATTCCTCACTGCTGGAAGCAGAGTATCCTGGTTGTCCAGGCCCCTCGTAAGAAGTGACTGGAGAAGTACGACGTTTGAGAATGAGTGCAGAAGGAGAGCTCTGGAGCACAACAAAGAATGTAGGGGTGTGGAGCTCTCCCAGGACAACCACTCCCACCGCCGTGCACGCTTCCATGGGAAAATAAGGAATCAGACAGTGCCTGGGAGGCTTTGGAAACACCTTAGAGGTGGCTCGGCAAGCACCGAAGTCATTCACGTGGGCGGGGATGCAGGGAGGTAGCATTTTCTCCCTCGCCCCTTGCGTGTTTCCTGACGATATTGTGTGCTCATGAAGCTTTTGGGAAGCCAAAATACTGAGTTCCACTCAGTGATATAAATACCCTGCTGCTGTCAGCCTTCCTGCACCCTGGCAAGTGTGCCAGCTTTGTGCTGAAGTGTTTGTGCAGCAGAAATTCTCACAGATAATACACGACAGCAGAAAAGCTGAGTGGGCCTGCTATGCTCCAGTACAGGTGCTGGGGGAGAGGGATTAAATGGAGATTATAAATAAGATAAATGACACTAGATATATCAGGTAGTGTTTTGAAGGGTAAGAGTGATTTTCAGTGCACTGGAGTTGTCAGTGGCATAATGCAGTTACCTCCTCCTTTTGCTTGTGACCACTTTGATTCCTTGCAATTCCACCTAATTTTTGCTTCCCATTTAAAGGAGTTTGGAAAGTCCTTCACGTTATGAAGCTAAGTTCTCAAGGTTTGGGGTTTTTTTTGTTGTTATTAATGCAGGCTTCATACTACTCTGATCTGGGTCTTCACAACAGCAGCTACGCTTCCACTTCTCAGCCTTCTGCCCAAAATGGAAATTGGGTCTGTTGCCCTCTGGCTTTACCTGACCTGGACTTGTTGTCTTGACTTCATTTGGACAATACAACCTCTTGTACTTGGGAATGAATTTGGGCCAATTGTCCAGAAACAAAACCAAAACCAAACCAGACCTTTTAAGGTTGGAGTAATGGAAAGCTGTTTTAAAATGAGCACAATTAATTTTCCTATGCTGCTCCTCCCTTTCCTACAGTTATTTTTTTTGCTTTTGGTCTCAGTTAGTCTGGAAAAATAAGGAAAATCTTAATTAACTGAAGTCCTCTATTCTATTTGAGGTAACTTCTCTGCCCCCCGGATCAGTCTAGCAATCTTAAAACAATCCAGTCTGTGTAAAATGAAATTACAAGCAAGTAATTCACAGACTGCTGGAAGAAAACCGCTGAAGCTTGAAAAATCACCCAGGAGGTTGGATTGTCCTCTGTGTGGGGACAGAGCTTAGCCAGCCTGGCGCTAGCAGGAGCTGTGCTTGAGCAGTGGTCCGCAGCCCACCCTGCCCGGTGGGTGGCAGCGCGTGGCCCAGGGCTCTGTGGTGGCCGGCAGTGGGGACGCCGCAGATGGAGGGGACGGGGACCCCTCAGCACGGCGTTTCCCACCAGCTCTGGGCTGGGGACCGCTGCTGGAGCCTCTCTTGCACCTGATTACGCCAGATGCAGTGTGTGCTCTCTGAACTTAATTGCTGTATTGTGTGAGCAGTGGTTACTAAGAGCAAAGTCGTTTGTTTCCTGGTACTCTGATTTAAGTACTTATAATTTTGTCCTGAATTATTTGGGATTTCTCTGCATTTTTGTTTAATAATATAATACACGTGTGAAACACTTCCAACGCGTATCTTCAAACACTTTCCGTCTGTGTGCACAGCTCTTTTTCTGGCTTTGGTTGAAGTGAGGAGAAACGCCCTTTCACGCTGCTCTACACAGATATGTGTGGGACAATAACAAAGTAACAACCTAAAATTAAATTATGCTGTTTTGCTTCTGCATACTGTCCCGTTCTCCCTTCCTGTAGGAAATGCATGTGTCGGTCTGGTATTCTTAGTCTTTGGGAGTTGAGATCTAATGCTGTTATGGCGCGGATGACTAATACTCTCTCTACTGTGTTTCATTCTGTTGTAGTTTAATAATCCTAATCTCTTATCAATGCTGTAGGTGCCTTTTTTTTGTTTCATTTTCTATGCAAAAAAGTTTTGTGCTTGTCTTCCTCAGCCCTCCTTGCTGTACAGCGATGCCCTGCCAGCCAGAAGTTACAGGGTTTGTTGTACTAATGCTCTAAACACAAATACTGAAGCCACTCGTCTTCAGCCATGCATATGTTGTCCCTTACCTCTGTAGTTCCTGTTGGATCCATTTATTTCACACTCTGGTGTCTGATCCCTCTGAATGCACGTGTGCGATGCTGTTTGTACAAACCTGGGTTGCTGTTCCTTCCTTTTATTCCCGTTGGAGCTGTACAACCGCTGCTCGTGGGGTTGTGACACTGCCACAGATTTCTCTCTGGATGGAGGCGGTTGTCTTCATTTCAGTGTATTAGCTACTACCTGCAGGAGCAGGACAGAGAGAGGCAACATCAATTCTTTCTGGTTGCGTGACAGCTAACAAGAAAATCTGTTTAAAAGGTTTTGCAGCCAAATTCCACTGTTCTTGTTTAAACTTCAAAATGAACTTCTCAGGATTTTTGTGTGTGTGTGTGTCCAAAGCTTAGAGTTTTATACTCCCCCTGTGCTTTCTGAGCCACATATTTATATGCTAAACTAGAGTCAGTCTTAAAATATGCTTCCTTCTCTTTTATTAATTCAGTAAACTGGCTAGTAAGTGAAATTCATCAGCAGACCTGAGTTTTTCCCCACATTGGCAGTACCAGAATTGAAAGTTAAACAGATTTGACCAATTTAAGAATTGATGTAGCCGTTCTGTTGGTGGGCAATATAAGCTGTGGAATTGACGACTGGAAGAACGGTTAGAAATGCATGACTATGTGATGGGCTCGGGGCAGGGGGGATGTGTCAGAGTTTGCACGTGCCTCACGGCATTCCCAGGCTCACTGACTTCAGGTTGTGTTAGATCTTCACTTGCATGTCGCTTGTGGGTGCGTACAGGAGTTGTCCCTTCCCTTGCACATACTGCTCGTTCCCCTACGTCCTTCATGCTGCACCTTGTGCAATTTGTAATGCTCCAAAGTGAAACCAGAAACTAGGCCTGCTGGTCCTGTTCTGACTCTGTCTTTTAATTGTAGGCCTCTGTGTATGACGAGAGCGTTTACAGTGGGAGTCGTCGGTATAGTGCCTCTAGTTCTCGTGCTGTAAGATGTTTTCTGCATTTCCCTGTTGTCTTGTCTCTGTCCTCTAGTAACATGCGTGTGCCAGAACGCAGCCTTTGCTGGGCTGAGGAACGTTTAAGATGGACTGTGTAAGGTTCATAGCCTGCTGCTGTAGTTGAAAGTACGAGCACCATTTCCACGAGTTCCATAAAATAATAAGTAGTGATTTATCTGCTGTCGTGACGCCTAGTGTCATGCACAATGGCTCTGACTAACACTGGCAGAGCCTGGCCCTGGGCCTCTGCCTTCTCCCCAGTAAGGGGAATTCAGCTCTGCCTTCTACTTCATTTGCAGATAAAACACCTTGGAAAGACATTACATAAAGTGTCTTCCCTCTCTGAGACTTAATTCTTCTTTCAAAAACTGAGAATAGTACGATTTTCCTCTTTTAAAAAATCCATCAACACCAAACCATACTTTTTCCCCAGTGTTATATCATTAGCACTTACCTGCCTGCATGAATTATTTTTGTGAATGTATGACTTGCTTGCTTTCTTTCCTTGGATTTATATTCTGTGGTGATGTCTCGGGCGACTTGTGACTATGTTTTCAAAATACATGTTCCTGTAAGTGGAGGACTCTGTCGTTTATGGAGAGAGACAATATGAGGAATGACAATGAGAATTGTTTCCCTTCAAAAAAGAGAGCCTGCAGGACTCGGTTTAAAGATTAGAAGGCAGAAAATGCCTTCACCTCTTCTCTGTGTCATGGTGGGCATTAAGGCCAGGCAGTACGTCTGCCTTGGGTGGGGGCAAAAAAAAAAGCAAAAAAAAAAAGCACCAGTCTTCCTTGATTTTAAAATTCTGCTCTGTGGACCCACTGCTTATTCTGTCTGTGAACTCCTTCACTGATTATCAGGAAAAATACTGGTGCTCATCCTCCTTCCTCCATCCACATCCCACCCTGTGCCACAGGTATTTGGAAGCCTGTGTATAACCCAGCCTTTCCAGTTTCTGTTGGACCATCACCTGTGGTAATTAGAGAGTTGAAGTATGAGATTTTTTACCTCAAAGGGAACAGCTTTGTCACAGTTACCAAGCTATCTGTGGTCACCTTAATGTCTCTGAACCTCATAGCACTTCTGGTGTGTAGAGAGTGTGCCATTTGAGTAGCTGTGTCCCCAGAGCATGGGTTTGGATGGTGAGATGGCAGGTGAATGCAGGGGCTGAGGCTGGAGCTGGCTTTGCTTGGTCTCCGCTGAACAAGTGGCACTTGCTTCTATATTGTCCTGCAATACACAGGGAGCAACTACTGAATGAATAGATCCTGTGAAGCATTAATACGGAACTCCTTAGTAGTTAATACTTGTCCCCTGTTAGGTGTTTACAGTTTATTCTATATCTTTGTTGTATTAAATGTAAAACACCAGTGACGGTGCAAGGCTTCTGTGCTAGAACTACTTAATAAGAAAACAAAATCTAAGTATTTACTTTGGTGCTTTTTGTTTTTAATTTAGGAATTGAAGTGTCTGTGATCGAAAACAGTTGGAAATGGTGCAACACAGTTCTAAATTTTGCACGTTCTCATCTGTGAAATGAGGCTCAGTAGTTCACATGCACGAAGCCAATGTCACTTCACATAAGGCATTTGAGGACATGGCTTGGTCACATTCTGCCCTGCTTCAGGGCTTGCCAAGGGCTGTGTACCTGGGAACCTAATGCTTTGTGGCTGGTAACTAAGCTTATGGTTGGACTGTAGCTGGGGTTATTTCCAGCTTAGCCTCTTACCATTTATTAGTACTGGAAGCTTAATTTTAATTTAATACTGTGCCTTTTTGTTAGTGTGACTAATGGTGCTGGAACAGTCCTCCAGTAGCTTGGTGAAGACCTGGCTGTCTCTAGCTGAGGAGTCCAGGGGGTTCCTCTAACAGCCAGGTAACTTAACAGAAGAAACCTTCAATAGAGTTAGAGTACATGCATCTCAAACGTAGGCTAATTCTGTAGATTTCAGTGGCTTTGTATCTGAGAAACAGTCTCTTAAGTGCCTATAAAATAAATGCATAAAGGCCATTAGCCACACAGTTCCTCAGGCCTGTTCCTGCCCCTAAACTGCCTCCACTCTTGTGTCGGTGCAGGCTTTTTGCGTGTGAAGTTTGACTGACGGACTGACATGACAAGCCTTAGCGCTCTACTAAGGCCTTGTTCACGATTGCCTTGAGGTAGTAGTGATAGGAAAAATATCATGTCCAGTAAACCTCAATCTTCTTTAATTCCTGTCTGTCCTGAATGTGTCAGAAACTCCCTTTTATACGTGCTTCTGTGCCTTTCTATAAAGTACATCTAAATACAAGATGGAGTGTGAAGCTGCTTCTCTGACATCTGTGAAAGTAAAGGGAATAAGTCTAAAATGCATTTTCAGTGTAAGTTTTAGTTCTATTTCCCTGATGCTTTAGACTTTCATTCCCCTTCTCTACTTCCACTGCATTATAACCTCTGGAAATAAAACAGTTTAGACACATTCTTTGTCCTTGTCAGCAACAAGTCAGCCCTGTCTGTTCTGCATTACTGCTTACTTGTTTGCTTTTAAAAAGGGTGGAAATAGTTTCTTTGGCAGGAGATGAGGACTGCAGGTGCTGGAGAAGCAGGAGAGATAACTTAGTCTCTGAGATGGTCTCAGTTTTTACTTAAATCACCATGTAGATGGATGTTTCTTGCTTTGGCCCGTGGAGCACGGATTCATTTTTATGTGCGCAATGTTGGAACCATGGAAGAGGGCTCACCAGAGAACCTCAGAGCTCTTGGAAAAGTTGTAGGATTTAACCTTTTGCATAGAGACTAAGTTGTCTACTTGTGACTGGTATCTTAAGATATATAAATAAATCATTATTCTGTCATTCTAAGAATTAAATCAAAACTCTACTTGGTCTGTCAACTGGAATTACTGCTTGCCTTAATTTTTAAATTAACAGTTGAGGTGTCTGTTCTGACTTTTATTGCTGTTCCTTTGTCCAGCTGCATGTAACCGTTTTCGTAACTAACTTCAGATGTAATGCCCTGAATACTCTCTTGCTTCCTTCCCTTCCCAGTTCTAATGCTTTTCTCTTTTCTCTGCTTGCTCTTCTTTGTTTACCTGCGACAGCCTTCTGAGTACAGCTGCTACCTTGGTTCAGGATCTCGGGCATCCTCAAGAGCCAGCTCTGCTCGTGCCAGTCCAGTGGTGAGCTCCTCTATTTTTCTTTGTCCTTAAACTGCTTAATTCCTCTGTTCTTCAACATCTTTTTTGTACAAAGAGGTGACTGGCTGTCATGATACAGTTTCTTCTGGTATTAATTGGACTTTCTGGGTAATGTTTGAGAAGAAGAAGGGGTGAACCAGATGAGAAATTACAAGACCAGAGTAATTTCTTTGCAGATGCATGTGTTTTCACCAGAGAAAAAGTACATTTTGGACTCCCCTGACAATGCTGAATGTTTTTGAAGTTGGATATAAAGCACATCACTAAGGGTAACGTGAAAAAGACTGGGCTGTCGATGCTAGTGTTCCTTCAGTTAAAATCAGGATATTACTGAAATGTTCAAGTGGCTTAGTTTCTCTACATTGGGCTGTATTTTGCAAAGCTGCGGGGCTATCCAGGGATTGGATTTGAACATGTTTGTTGGATTGTAGGTTCCCAGGCACTGCAGAGTCTTTAGCACGGTGGAGCGCTAGAAGGATTGCACATACCCAGCATGTCTGGCAGCATGAATTCCTAAGCAGTCATGGCTGAAAAAGGCTCAAACGTTAAAGGCTTGTCCAACTCTTGTGACTGTAGTTGACTGAGACAAGGCTTTTTCCTGTGCTTTTTACAAATATAATTGTCTTCTGTTTTTTCACTGGCATATTGCCACTTTTCCTTTGTGATTGTTCCATCTAGCTGTTTACAACTGAGTATCTCTCCTGATTAACTGCAGGGCAAGGCCTGATGCTGTGGTGACCATAGCAGAATATAGTAGCATGTCTCTCAGAGGATATGTGCAGCTTACAGTAAACTAGTCTGTAACAAAATTCATCTTCCACAGAGAGTGAGTTTTGAAGAGTTGCACTGAGTTTCAGTAAACTTGCTTGGCTTCATGGAAGCATTCTTCCCGGTAAATTTTGAATGTGCCTCTTCTCCTGGGACCTGTCGCGTATTACCTACCACATCTCCAAGATGTAAAGTGTTGAGAAGGGCGATGCTGTAAATTTTAACACACACAATGTGCTTCTGTAGCATCGTGTTGCCTTTGTTGTTTTGCTGAGGAGCTGAAACATAAATGTTGCCTTCAGGACTAATTAAAATGGAGTGTTTGGGCAGTCAAAGCAGCTACCACAACATGCAACAGGGTAAGCTGTAACATGAATGTTTGGAGTGTTCCTTTTCCATAAACACACACAGGAATGCGGTAAGGAATTGCTTTCTATCGGGTGTGCCCCATCATGCTGGTTCCCCCTTCAAACGCAGTATGCAATTTGAAAACCTGTGTGCTTTACGGACTTTTCTCCCTGTGCTGCAGGTCGGCATCCCAGTGGGGAAAGGTGCCTGAGCTCTCCACGCAGGGTTACTTCTCGTCATCAGGCAGGGAGTAGGCGAGCATTTTGATCATCTCTGCTTCTAAGTGAGAAAAAGCTGAATAAACTGACTGGGGCAAAAGAGAATAGAACTGGGAGAATAGAGCTGTGTGCTCTGAAGTACTAGTGCTTTTTAAAGACAAGGCTTTTTAAATTTTTCTGTTTTTTAAAAAAATATTTTAATCAGATAATGTATGGCAGACGGTGAGCTATAAATAAATCAGTATTTTAATTAGTCCCTGAATCTAAGTCCCTGAGCTATGAGTTCTTGCAGTATATATCGTACATTAGTAGTACTTCTTAAAGGGCTTTGCACACGGAATTTCAATTATCCCCAAAGCAAAAAATAATCAGAATAACCAGAGATTCCATTGAAGTTCTTTAAATATAAGAATTGGGTAGCCATGTGTTGGCGCTGGTTCCCATTATGTGATTTTTTGCATGCAGTCTGAGTCATTCGAGCAAGTCACTTATGGTAATCGCAAAATGCAGCTTACTCCTCTGGGAGCTATAGGGGATTTTTTTGTGTTTTAATTTTCGGCTTACACTTTGGGGTGTTTGTATGCAAGTGGCTGGAGATGGTTAGCTGCATCGGCACCAACACTGGGGAGACACCAAGCTTAATCTACTTCACAAGGAGACAACAGGCTGTTTCAGTTTGGTTTTTTTTAAATTTAATTAGTCATTGCAGTGTGTGAAGGGCTTCTGCTGTTTCCATGGCCTTGAAGAAGAGCTCAAAGTTAATACTGTAGTGGGTCTAAAATACACTTTGCTTCTCCTACTACGAGGTAGTACAAGCCTTGTGAACACAGTGTTGTTGCTCTTAAAAGTTCTAATTAGTGCATGGGGTCAATGCAGCAGCATTTTGTGATTTATTTTTTTTGTCCTCTTTCTTTCTGTATGAAACAGACAATGCCTTTTCCTGTAACTGAAAGGAAGGAATCACTTGCCTGTTACTAAAAGAGGTTTTGAGGCGTTTTGGTAACATTTCCAGTTGTGTGCTTGGCAGTAAGGGTGCTGAAACGGAGCCCTGTCTTCTCAGCAGGCTTAGCGGTACATCGCTTCCACCCATACAGTCCTGAAACACCATCTGCTTGGACTTCCTAAAGGAATAATAAACATCTCCTTGGGTGACGGTGATGAGGGGGGGAAAAAGTGGCTATTTTTGTCTATATTGATAGTCTACGTTAGAACTGGTTTAATATTGCTAACTCCCAAAAACTGAGTTGTACCCTGCCTTAACATGTCGAGCCATGTCCTTTTTCATTTATGCTTTATCTGTCTTTTGGCACAGTGGAGTGGCTGCTGGTGAAGGAAGGAAAGGGAAGTATCTGTTGGATTGAAAAGCTTATTTTCCAGTATGCTTACGTCACGTGAGAGAGTGATAGTTTACAAAATGCATTTACTGTAATCAGGAGTGCTTAACGCTGAAGTTAAATATGATTTTCTTATGATTATGGGTATTATTTGGCAGAAAACAAAAATTGGACTGTTTCCAAGCCTGACTAACTATCATGGGAAATTATATATTGAGAGTGGAGAATGATTCAATTTAACTTTCTAAATTAAAGGATACAATATCTTATCACTGCAACCCTTAAATCTTTTTTCAGAATTGTATTTCTGCCTTCTATCGCTGTTCATTAAACAGTGAGCAAAAAATGACAATAATTTTCCTGCTGTGCACAGCTTTGCCAGCTTATGTTCTCATTTGTGTCAGCATGTCTTTAATGCAGTAAGAGCCAGGAAGATACTTAAACACAACACGTGAATATTTATTTGTCTTGGTATGTGTTTTTAAGAATTCACGGTATCTCCATGAAGTTTGCTGTTTGATTATTCTTTTTAACATTTTTCCCATTATCCCCAGTAGTAGTTGTTGTCGGCTGTCTTTGCAGCTACTGCAGATACGCAAACGTATCATTTCATATTTAAGCATTACACTTGATATAAAGTACAAACCTTAAAACTACTGAGAGCAAACGACTGGCCCATCTGTACAGACGGGAGTACATCTTGTGCCTGAAGTAGTAGCATGTTTTGGCTTAGATGGGCTTTTTAGTATGAATTGCTGGAGTTTCTCTTCTACAGAATAAGCTACTAGTGAAAAGCAGTTCGTTATGTGTTTGAAACAGATTCAGAATGCACCAGTACGTACCTGAAGACCAGTAGGGTTTTGTTAGCCGAAGAAGATGATCTTTTGTTTTAACCCTTCCCCGCCGGGCTACATGCCAGGCACAAGAGGTGGGCTCGCGGCTGGGCAGGGCAGGCTGGTCCCGACAGCAGCGTGATGGAACAAAGTGCGAGACTGGAAATGCAAGTGCCGCTTGGCGAATGTGCAGTCATGCACTAATGCACAGTTGTGAATATTTTTTTTTTTGTGAGTCTTCTGTTTTTTTTCTTTTTTATTTGAGGGAGCTAATCATGTTCTCACCAGAAGTAAAATTAAGACGGAACAGGCTTAATATCATGGAAAGTTACCGGCTTGCTCAAACTTTGCCATCTCTCTTCTACGCTTGAAGACTGACAGGGGGCTTGTGTCCTAGCCCAGTCACTGACAGTCTGGGTGTGTTTTCAGCCCCTCCAGAGTGAGGATTTGCTGCAGTGCTAACTTGCATTTTCGAGACTGATAAGTTTGTTTAAGCAATGACGTCTGGCATAACACTCATTCCTGCGCCAAGATACTTCTGACAAATCCACTTTAGACCTGACAAAGTTCAGCAGTGGTTTTTCCCCTGCTGGCTTTTAAAGGCTTATTGCTAATTGCTCGTGTTAAGGTGGCTCTCCCTGGAAAAACACGCAGCATCTATCTATGTTACTGCCTGCCCCAGCCCAGCCAATGAAACTGGTAAGATGAGGATTGCAAGAGGGGTTATACTGACTGCAATACTTCTCTTTTTAATTCTGCTTTTTTGTAGATAACCGTACTGTATTCAGCACTACTTAGTTCAAGAGTTGTTCTTCAGTGTATTCTTTCTGTTTCAAACTGTGTTGTGCTACTTTAAGAGCAGGAAATGATCTTAATTTGATTTGTCACCAGAAGAACCAAACCCCTTGCTTTTATGAGGAAGTTGATCTAGGTGCAAGATCTTAGATGGAGCTGAGCAGTAACAACCATGTACTGAACACTCTGAAATTGTTCTCATACCTGAGTACAGGTCATATGGCTACCAAACAGAAAGTGTTTCCGATTTCCCTTCTCTAGGCTTCTTTGGGAGGCTGAAAGCAGGAAATTGTGCCCTAGTCCTGATTCTTCCATTGGTTTTAAAGATCTCTTTACTTGCAGCTGGGGTCTAATGCTTAACTGTGCCAGGCTCTCAGGTCCTTTCAGTAGGTGCTGGATGTGCTGTGGTGGTGCTGTGGCAGCAATAATTCTGGTCTGGACACTCACTGGTGAAAAAGAGCTTCACGGGTTAACCCGCTAGCTGACTGCAGAATAGAGAGACATACTTTTTCAAACATTGCACTAAAACGCTTTTATTATCTATGAAAAATAGGCGATATATCCATATATAGACTTATGGGATGATTTTGCTCTTGTTAAGTTTCCGGCTGCGGTAAGCCTCTGATATTGCTGACATTTTTGTAACGTGGTTCTGGATTTATTCCGAAATCGCAGTCAGAAGAGGCTGAACTCTGATCCCACTCTACTTATTTTGCAGAGAGCAACGTATTCCCCTTGCCAAAACAAAGATGTGCGTGCTGGAGTTCCTTGTAAAATTACTTCCTTTTCCTGCTTTTTTTTATGCACTAAAGTACAAATTGCCCAAATGGTTGGTGAAAAGGACGGTAATCCATGATCAGAGACAGACCCATGCTATTGTAGATAAGAAGAATGGTGCAATGTTCTAGGAATTAAAGGTCTGGTATCACTAGGTGAATTCCTCTTTAGGTCTCCTCTTCTGTAAGTATTCTTTTGGTCCTTTGTATTTTTATGTGGAAAAATCCCAAAGCCAGTACATTTGTATGAAAAGCTATGCTGAGTATAGTACTGTGAAGGTGGAGAGGTTTTTTCATTACAGTAGTCTTTTTTGAATGACAATACAGAAGGTTAAGTATTTTGGCCAAGAATTTCATGCGATTTCAAATAAAAATAAATATATTTTCCTGACCTTTTCTCTGATTTCTTACTTGATCAAATGCCAAAGCGCTTGTCAGAGACTTGGTGAAGGCTGAAAACCTGGAGATCCCTCTGGTGGCTGATTGCTGTTGGAAAGCACGATTTATCTTCTTGAAGGAGTGATCCTGTGAATCCATTAATCTAAAGATGAACAGAATAAAAACTGTATTAAATATTAATCTAACATAATTTCTGTCTTTCTACAAGACAGTCTTTACAGCTCTCAGTGTATCTCTGCCACGTAACCATAAAATTAAATGCTGTTTGTTTTGAATTGACTTTTTGCTTAAAAAAAATGTGTAGCAGGAGGCATCTTTGTAATGAAAGGAGACTATGTTTGAATGTTTTACTGGCTTTTCTCAACACAGATTAAATTTTTAAATGTTAATATTTAAATAAATTGATAGTGGTAATTACTGGGTTTGGGTAGCAAATGCTCTGAATATTCCATTCATGGCACCATATAATGTGGGTAGGAGAGCATCAGTAGGGAAAATTAAGTCTCCTCTCTTTTTTTTTTTTAACCACCTCAGTTTTAGAAATTGCCTAATAACTTTAATAATTAAAGATCATGCTACCTTAGAGAATTATTAAATATTGTTTTGCAATAAAGTGTCGCAAGCTTCACAGGTGTGGTTAGGAGTTCTCTGAGTAAAAACGTCCACTGTGTGCATATCTCTCCCCACAGTGTCTTCAACATTTTCCTCTTTGTAAATGGAAGCTTTCCTGTGACTTACTTGGTGCATCATTAAAGAATATCGATGTTTGCTTCCTTCTTACTGAAAACTGAGATGTCCTTCATTTTCTGAAAAAATGAGCAATTCTGCTAATGACTTAAGGAAAATAACGGTTTGGGTTGTGCCCTGAACCCATAAGCAAGAGGCTGTACATAACATTTCTGGAGGGGTGGGTGTGTGTGTGTGTGTACACCAATATGCCAATATTTACCCTGCCACAACTGTCGTGCTAAACAACAACCTAGTGTTTGGCCAGGCTCGAAGGCTGCCAAATCCACCACTCGGAGCTGTCTGGCAGGAAAATAATAGGCTGTTTGCAAAAGTCAGTCCATCTTGTTTATTGAGCCTGAACTGAAGAGAGGCATTCTCTTCAATAGAGACAGTCTCTTATTGCATCCAGATTCGGAGATTCCCTCCCCGCAAGTACTTTGTGTATTCAGTGTCTTTGCAAAATCGAAATGTAGTGCTTTGTCTGGCTTTAAGCCTAATCTTAAATTTTCTTAATGCTAATCATGGGGAATTTATGATGTAAGTTGTGTTGCCAGTAGGAACCTCTCAATTCTGGGATTTTGTTTTTAATAGGGTATCACAGGTAATGTGAAAAATAATGAGTGGGATCACCACCATATTACTCTCTAATTCAGAGAAAAACACAACCCTGTGTCAAATGTGAACAGATGGGGAAGATATGACATTTCTGAGTGTGTTTTCAGTGACACTTGTCAAATTAGCCTCACCTATCCCCTGCTTTCTCCTGAATCAGGTATTGCCTGATTTATTTTATTTTATTTTCAGTCATTTCAAAACCACTATTCCCTTTGGCTCTTAGGATCTTACTAGTCGTGGTAGTATTGGTTTGACGGTTGGACATGATGATCTTAGAGGTCTTTTTTTCATCCTTTATGATTCTTGATCTGGGGAAGCCATTAATTTTTTAGAAGTCTTTTGGGAAACCATCCAACTGGTGCTGAATGCTCTCAGAAGAGGTTGACATGTTCTGGACTTCTTGGAGCTTTGAGCTTTTTGTTTCTTTTGATCTTTTTTTACACTTAGCTCCATTTTAGATGGACACGCTTATAAAAAGATTCTGTTGTGAAAAGCGCTTTCCCTCCCCAATAGCAAAGTGAATAATGACAAAACACTTGATTTTAGATTTCTGCTCGTGGCAACTTGTATATTGTGTTTGGTTTCAGAGCAGGACAAAGTTGATAGGATGGTTTCTGTCAAGGGAGGAGGGAGGGCAAAGGTTCTGTGTGGGTTTTGCTCTGTAACTTTCTTTTAAGCATTTAAGCTGTCTGTATCCATGGTAATTTTTTGTACTCCTAAATGCTGCTTTGGCTCTGTCTTCTTTCTGCTAGACTAGTTTTAGTGCAGGATCTCTCTCCTGAATTAGTAAAATCTAGTGAAGTGCTGAAACCATAAAAGAGCTGTTTGTTTAGACTTTGAACTGGTTGCTGATATTTGACTTGAGAATCATTTTTTGTAGTCTCAGCCTTACCTCAGTCTTTGCTTGAAGTGACAGTCACCATTTGTCTTGAACAGCGAGTGCTCATGGGATGTTTTAAGCTTTATATTTCTTTCTTTTTCTTCCTCCCTGTCCATATTGTTCTTCTTTTGGGAGCGCCACAGACATAGTACAGTCCTTCAAGTTGAACTCGATACCTTGCTTCTTGGAATGGGGGAGGATGTGCTGCAGGCTTCAGAAGTAGCCTTTTTCAGTCAGGGTCCGTAAAAACCGTAACTTCGAGAAGCTACCTTGGTCTGGAAATCTATTGATCTTTCAATTAGAAAAACGTAACCTCTCTACTTAAGTAAATTGCTATTTGGAGGTCATTCGATGCGTATTTTTAAATTGCTCTAAAGTAAATAGAAGTAGTTGCATGTGTCAGCATGGCAGTTGCAAACAGCTATTTTTATGTCGAGAGAAAGACATCTGGGGCTTTAAGTTCGTGCCCATGGAGGTTATTTGTATTCTTGCATTGTTAACTCAAAAGATCGAGTGCCATCTTCAATATGGAAAAAAATTTATTTCACTGTCTTACCTAATAGACTAAATAGGTTTTTATCAATAAGTATATTTTACTTAGTTTGCTGTAGTACTTATGCTTAGTACTGCTTTGAAATTTCAGGTGAATTGTCCAGCCTTATGCCCCCTGAGGTGCCAGCCAGGACACCGCTGTTCCAAGAGAGCTGGCTGCTTTTCGAGTGGATAGAAATTGCTAATGAAATGTATTTTACAGGTTTCAGAATTCTCTTTCAGGTATCTTACTGCCTTCATTTGTCCTTTGTTATATAACAATTCATTCTAAATCTTTGTTTTACAGATTGAGGAAAGGCCAGAAAAAGACTTTGAGAAGGTAAGGAGGATCTTCTGAATTATTCTGCCAATAGTGCTTTCTTCACGTTCCTTTTGGTAGGCAGAACTTGCAATGAGTTTACAGAAATCTGGAGAATCCACCGTGGGGCAAAACTTTGAATTAATTTTTTTCAGACAAACTTTTAAACCTCAGAGGTTATGTAGTTGTCGTTCAGTAACAGTTTGATGACATTGCTTTAGGCTAAGCCACATGAATACTGGTTTTGTTTATTAGATTTTAATTGTGGTATTGCATAAGAATAATAATTAAAAGAGGTTGATACTATAGTAGCGAGAAATTGGCTTAATGCAGAACCCTCAGTATAGTAAAACATTTAATGTGACTCTTGCTGCAAAATTGATAAATACCCTTTAAAGGTGAAGAGCTTGAGGGGTAGTCAGAAGGAAAATGTGTTACTGCAAGTTTTGAAAATATCTGGCAAGGTGCTACTGCCCTAAAGACTTCATCTAACTTAAAATTAATAGAAGCTAAGACACGCAAGTTCATATTTCAGTGGTGTTTATATAGGTCTGATCAGCCTTCTTTCTGTCGTTAAACCTTGATCTTTTGATTTTTCATCTTAGGAAGTTATATTTAATCAAATTGGCATAATTTAGAAGTGCAAAGGTTGGTGTAACGTGAATTTAGGAAAAAAAGACAAACACCACAAACAAAAACCAACAAAACCAACCAACCAACCAAAACACCCTTCAGAAAAACGAACTACAAACCCGTGATATATCTGTGAAAAAAAAGTTATAACCATTTTTTGCTGTGTGTGATTACAGGGAGCCCGTACTGTCTCAAGTTTATCAGCAGCTACCTTAGCTTCTCTGGGTGGGACTTCTTCCCGAAGAGGCAGTGGGGATACCTCCATCTCAGCTGATACAGAGGCATCCATTAGAGAAATTAAGGTAGGAAATACTTAAAACCACCATAAGGTGTTAGGAATGTATGTCTTATCTATGGCTCTTCTAATCAGAATGTTTTTATGCCTTGCATTAGATAAATTAATAAACTATAAGATTACTTGAAAAGAATGTATGTCCTATCTATGGCGCTTCTGATCAGAATGTTTTTATGCCTTGCATTTGATAAATTAATAAACTATAAGATTACTTGAAAGTAGTGCTGATGTTCTCTGACTGTAGAAATCAGCAGTAAGAATTGGGGCTGACAGGCTAATACTAAGACAGTTGATTTAATAATAATGCTGAGTCAAATCTTACCTTTTGATATCCCTTTGGATATTATCAATAGGCTTTAAACATCTTTACAAAAACAAAGCTGTCTTGTTTCCCCCTTTTGGCAGTTCTGACAAAATACATTGTGTGCCGTACATGAAAAGTGAATAGATTTAGTGGAAAGATGCTGCAGGGAGGCTGGTGTGTATTGCAGGAGGAGTGTTTGGGTGACGTCCTACGACGTGTGATAGCAGATCACACTGATCCTGGTAGACACAGCTCATCTAAACCTAACGTCATAGGAAATGGACTTAGTACAACACACTGATAGGAGAACTGGAATAATGCAAGAAGCACTGCACTTGCTGGTTGCTAATTTTGTAATCTTAACTTGTGATTCCACGGCTAGACACTGTGTGTAGCAAATAGCTAGGCAATCCAGTGTTCGTACCATTGAGTGCTAGTCCGTAGCTTGAAGGGTAGTCCATAGCTAAATTGTTTTTGTAGTCTGTTTTTTTTAATGCGCCATTCTGAAGAGTATTTGAAACTGGGGAACCAGAATTCTGTTAACTTTCATACATCTGGGATTTGTGTTAGGACGTTAGATGCAAGCAGGTCTGTCGTGGTGAAAGAGAACCATTTGCTGATGACCAAGGACGAAAGAGGAGAGAGACTGTGAAGTAGGACTTAAAATTAAATTTTATGTGATGGTTTTCATACAGTCTTTCCTATATCTAGTACAGCCTGTAGTTCAGGCTTGCCTTGGCAGCCCTTACCCTTAATACCAGGATTCCTCAAAGAGGTTGATACTCTCTGAAAGAGATAGAGAAGGGCTGTATGGCTGGGGTATATCAGGCCTTGAAGCTGGGTCTGCATCTTATCCTTAATGTTGAAGATTTCATTTTTTCCAGTCAAGAAGAGCAGAATTAACATAAACTTCTAAGGAAGTTTTGTTGTCTGGCAAGACTTCAGACTGCTTAACTGATGTGGTAGAAATACCTAAATGAGAACTTGGGATACCTGCTTTTCCTCTGCTTCTGCCCGTTAGTTTCAGCGACGTCATTCACCTTTCTCACCATTTCCCTCAGGATATCTATGAGTTAAAGGACCAGATTCAGGATGTAGAAGGCAAATACATGCAGGGACTGAAAGAAATGAAGGTACTGGTTTGCTGCAGTCTGGGAGTGTGATCATTAACACCAGCTAAATCTTCAGAGAGTCAGTGTGAGACCTAGAACTGACCTTGCATGCCTTTCTTCTGGGAGGGGTTGCAGATTTTGTGCAATGCATTTCATTAACTGGGGAAGTATCTCTTCTGAGCTCGATTGATTGTGGTGAGAAGTGCTTCCGAATGCTAACTGAAAGGCTGCTGATTACTACTGCATGTTGCCTTTGCTGTTTTGAGAAGGTAATAATTTGAGAAGGTAATAATAGGGTTTTTTTTATAGTTTCCTAATCCAGGAAACCTCTCAGTGTTGGAAGATGAGCAAGAACTCATGCCCTACAATGAAAAATTGGCATTTAAAACATTGTATGTTTTTGTATCTATAGGGTCCAGCATGCCTTCGGGAAGTCGTGCATGTGAAGTGGTGACTATTGTTTTGGTTTCAGGTTTAGATCACAGAAGACACCCTTAACCAATTCTTGTAACAAAGCTTGTTACACGTAGAATGAATGCCGACACCAGTTGGCACTAAAGAAGTGCTGACCACTTCCATAATGCCAAAAATGGATTTTGGTGCGACAATTAACTTGTGTACTCGCAAACCACAACCTCATAAGCGAGCAGCAATGTGAGCTGTATTTTTTGCAAAAGGCAGTCCTGCAAATATATATGTAGACATCCAAGCTTAAAATGAAACATTTATCAGCATTGATTGCCGACTCTGTCATTGGCTCAGTGCTGGGACAGGTGAAAGAGCTGCCATCTTTAGCGAGTTGTCAGTGGAAAAAAAACAGGAGTTTGGCTCTTTTTATGTAATATCTGTGGAGTTTTTTCTTGATCACTGTAGCAGGTGTAGCAAAATAATCATACTGGGTAAAAATGTAGGTGATTTTTCAATTTACGTCCAATACACAGCCTTTTGTGGTGATTTGTACTTCAGCCACACTGCTTGACGTTAGGAAAACAAAACGCAGCATGCCAAAGGAGCGGTGCAGCACCTACCTTAACTTCTGACTTGCATATACTTCCTTTCCAGCTGATTTCTGAGGTTTGATCCTACCACTGTTTCCAACTCTTGGCGGCTTTCTTTTGCATGCTGTTTCTCATCCTTGGGCTGGAAAGCACACCAAAGCACACAGTTTGTGTTTGGAACTGTACAAATTCATGTCCTGAAAGATTAAATTACCTTTGTAGTAAATAGAATGTAAGCTAAACTGATTCAAGGTTAATTTTGTCATCATCTCACCACTGTGATCCCCAGTTTCATTGACTGGATGAAAAGGGAAGTATATGAAACTCACCTGTGCTTTAGATGTAATTATTAGAATTACTAGTTCTGAGAGAAATTGCTTGATCTGTAAACTAAAAAGTTGACATGAGTGTCCTCTTTGTTTGCATATTTGTACTGTTTCATTTACATTAAGTATTCTGTTTCTCTATCAAAATCAAATACCAGAAAGTTGGACTGTATAACATGGTATTTATTTCGTCATCATCTGTTGTTAAAAATATACCTCAGTATCTTACTTATATATATATGGTCAGGTCAAGTTGGTAGGAGGGACTTTCAAGATCCTGGGAATTGTATCTTGAGGAGTAAATTTGTGAAGAAGTGATGTAATATAGGAAACCCAAGGAAAAATGATACCTCAGGTCACAAAAGCTGCAGCTTTTTCATGGCAAATTCTAATTTCTGAATCAGTATATTTAGTGGTTCCTGCGCCGCAAGGGTTCCTGAAACCTGAGTGAAGTGCCTGTCAAACTGCCTTAATTGAAGGCCTAAGATCGTCTAAAATGATCTCAAATCAAGGCTGGTTTGCCTTTAAAAAAAATACCCAAACTATCCTCTTCGGCAGCTGCTTTGAGCTGCCAACGTGCAGGGGGAGGAGGGAGAAGGAAGAAAACTCTGAGAAAGCAGAAACTGAAGCAGCAGAGAGCAGGAAACATTTTATCCATCCTGAGGTAAGGCTCCTTGCTTGTAAACAGGCGTCTGGTGAGAACACAGGGAAGGTTATCCTCACCTTGGGACAGCTGGTAAGCCTCTCCAGCACTTGATTAGCACTGGTTTCCGTAGGAGTACTCGGCATGCTTGTGGTTTAGAACTTAATTTTCTTTTTTCAAGGGCTTGGCTGGCAAAAGCATCTTTTATAACTGACTGACTGTGGTTGCTTATTCTCTGCAGGACTCTCTAGCTGAAGTGGAGGAGAAGTATAAAAAGGCTATGGTGTCAAATGCGCAACTAGACAATGAAAAAACAAATTTCATGTACCAAGTAGATACCCTGAAAGATGCACTCCTAGAGTTAGAAGAACAGCTGGCAGAATCCAGGCGGCAATATGAAGAAAAAAGTAAAGTATGTATAGAGCTATGGCATGTTATTTAGCAGGGAAAGATTTTTTGGGGAGGCTGGAGACTTTGGGGAGGAGGAAACCAAATTACTGTGCAAGATTTTAAATAAGTTAATGTTTTAGTTACTGTTCAAGCAAGCAGAATAACAGCGTATTATGTGTTTGTGATCATACAAATGGGAATCTTCCCTAAGTTTCTGTCTTGGGAAGCAATTTCTGGAGAAGCAAAGAAATTTTGTATATGGTAAAGCTATATTGATATTTTCACATGTCCTTTTATATTCCCTCTTTAAATTAATTTCAGGGGGTTTGGTCACAGTGGCTTCTGGAGCACGTGGGAGAGTTGTGTGTTTTATATAGTTAATGCAGCTACTTGGTTGAGCGTTGAATTAAATTTTACGTGAATTCAGCATTGGACAGCTAGTGAGTTGGTCTTAAAACTGTGACTTGCGTCAACTTTTTGAGAACTGGCTCTTTAGCTTGGGGCAATTTGACTGTAGTGCACTTCAAAACACATAGTTCCTGGAAGATAGTGTGTTTATTTTTTGTTTAAGTTCACAATGTTTAATACACAGCAATGTGGAAAGAGTTCATTTATTCATCTGTGAAGTCGGTAGGACTTGAGTGTAAAAGCTATTCCCTGCCAGCCTGCTGCTCTACTTGGGAAACTGGCTGAATTTTATCTGAAACTTCTGTATTTGATGGAGTAATAGGTTCCTGAAAAAGGACAAAGAAGATAAAAATTGTAGTCTTGAGGGGTTGTAATTAGGGGTATATTCAAAAATTGCATTGCAGTAAGCACTTTCTTTGTGTTTAGGCTTATTTTTCTTTTTAATGGGATGTTATTTTTGATCAATAAAAATCTCATGAATATTTCATTATTCATAGGAATTTGAGAGGGAGAAGCATGCTCATAGCATATTGAAGTTTCAGTTCATGGAAATCAAAGAGGCTTTGAAGCAAAGAGAAGAAATGCTTGCAGTAAGTAAAGTTTGGGGGTTTTTTTCAATGGCTTCTTTTATTGGTATTTTCCCCACTTAGCAGTAGGAGTATAGGAGGTGAGGTATGGAGAATATTATTCCCTACTCAGGTTTCTCACCTGAAGTGTAATACTGGTGTTTCAGGCCAAACAGGTTCAGGGCTGACTAATAGATACAGTACTTTCATAAGTATTATCTGAAGTTGGACTTGTTTTTTGCCTTGTCCATAATATGAAATGAGCTGTGTTTCGACCACTCTTTGTGGAGATGCAGAGGAAACTGATGAACCTGTCTAACTTGTCTTAAGTCATCTCCCGGAGAGTAGGATTGTCTTTGGGAGCATGGGTTTAGCCGAGATGTCAGAAACTGTGAAACTGTGCATGTGGATACTCTTTTACTTTAGCACCTGAATTTTTTCATTCTTTGGCATCACTACAATCTTGACCTTCCTTGTTAATGTGTTACCTGCTTTCTGTCTTTTCGTTTTCCTCCTGTCTCTCAGGAAATCCAGCAGCTGCAGCAGAAACAGCAGAGCTATGTCAGGGAAATTTCTGATCTTCAGGAGACAATAGAATGGAAAGACAAAAAAATAGGGGTAGGACCATCAACTCCTGAAACATGTTCCAAGTGATGCTGTCATTCTCCAGCTGATGTGCTTCTGCAAAACCTTATGAATAAAATCCTCCTTAGTGACTTTGCTTGGTGTGGCTGTCTTTAGTATATTACCAGTGAACTAGCAAATAGCAGATTTTTGTCTTTGGCCTATATCATAAAATCCAAGAAAAACTTAGCAGATGGTCCGATCATAAAACCAAGGGTAATTTATTTGCTGTGGTGCATCATCCATATTTGCCATATTGAGAAAGGAAGTGCTATTTATAATGCAATTCCATCAGCACTGAATTTCTGCTTATTCAGATTTAATCTGTGGACTGAGCAGAAACAGAAGCAATAGAGCTATTTCAGGGCTATTGGCATGAAAGTCTCCTAACTCTCCCTTGCTTCTAATCCCTTTCCAAGACCCTCTGTCAAAGTCAAATGGAAACCCACTCTTGAATCAAAAGCATGGCTTTCTTTTTTTAACAATAAGCACTGAAAGACTTTCTGAATATAGAAAGAAATCTGGCAGGTTGCCCATGCTTGCAACATCCAATGACTTGTAGCAATTTGAAACTCAACATTTTCTGATTTTTGTTACTGTTCTAGTAGTGTATTTATATAGGAATACTGGGGAGGGTTGAGTAGCAAAATAAGTGTTTGCACATGGTGCATCCCACTCTAAAGATGACTTATTGGCAGCTTTCAAATTAATTGAAATGTACCACACCTGTAAATGGTAACCCATGGAATAAAATAGTATTAAAATCTTCCGTGCCTGCTTTCATGCCTTTCTGTTAATATGTGGGAATTGCACCATCTTAAATGTGCACGCTGAAGTAATATGGATCGTAATTAACTTGTCTAAAAACTTGTCTAAAAGTGGATCCTCATTTGAAGGATCCCTAATGAAGGATTGACTCTGAATGTCTTTGGTAGGAACTTCTGCTTATCAAATAAGCTGGACATTTCTTGGATTTGAAATTTATCTATGTGTACGTAAACTCGGACCTTTAATCTGTAAACTTTATCTTTTTCATATGTGCCACTTCCATTATCCTCTGAATATCTTAAATCTGCTCATTCTTGTTTACACCTGCTCTTCATGGTCTTTAATTGTCTCCCTTCCTTTCTTCACATCTCCTCGCCCTTTTTCTGTGTTGGGAACTCAGGCATTAGAGAGACAGAAAGATTTCTTTGATTCCATAAGGAGTGAGCGGGATGACCTTAGAGATGAAGTGGTTGTGCTGAAGGAGCAACTGAAGGTATGGAAGAGGAATAAAAGAAATTTACATTCTACTGCTGACCTTTTCCACCTGTACATTTTTACAGAAAATCTTAATCTAGCTCAGCAGCAAGAACACTGTTTTCATGTTGCCTTTAAGTTGCAGTTGCAGGAATTTTCTGTATAAAGTCCTTCCCCCTGCCATTGACCATGAGCCCCTAGTATAGATTGTAGTATTAAGTAGTTGCTTTTGTAGGAGATGCCTCTCTGGGGAACATTTTACGCATCAGATTTATGTTTAAAAAAAGGAGGGGAAAGGAAGAGAGCCGGGATCATATGCGTTCTTGTCATAATAGCTAAACCAAGAACCGTAATGTTCTGTGCTCTTTTCCGACTTCCAGCCATGTTCAATGGAACGACTGAACCTATCGTTTATTCAGAATATCGAGGACAAAAACACCTGAACAATCCTTCCCTTTCTGAGCAGCAGGCTCTAAAACATCACTTTTGCTTCTCCACAGAAACATGGAATCATCCCAGATTCTGACATAGCCACCAACGGGGAGACATCAGACATTCTTGATAGCGAAGGACACTCGGATTCTTCCAAAACTGTTCCAGGCACAACTCAGGCATTAAAGGCAGGAGGGGAGGGGTCACTAGGTAAGTGCTGTAAATCCTCTCATATTTTTCTGTCTGTCCATTCATTCATCTTTGCTTGGAGTTTGGGCTTTTGTTAGTGGGACAATTAACACATCACGCAGCATGCTACTTGTCAAATCACTTCCTGAGCATTTTTCTGCTTAATATATATGTTATTGCTACAAGTGTCTTGTGTGGTTTCCTGCAAAGGCAGTCTTCATTTCCCATTCAAGGCGACAAAGGACAAGAATACAAATATTACATTACAGATAAGTAGCGATCGTTCAGATTACTATTTAAACTCTGAATTTGCAAATTGTCCCAGAACAATCCTATTGTTTGGTATTTTTCAGCATGTATACTGAAAAAAAACAGGAAAACAAGTATTTTAGTTTCCTATAGAGAACTTGCATGTTGGTTCACTTTTAAATACCTGGGAACTGTGTTTGTTGAACAACGGTGCTGGGCACTGTGAGAACACACTAACGTATGAATTCATTGTTTTTGGTATCTAGTACTACTGAACAGTTCATGTTAACTCTGCAATACTGTTACTTGTTATAACAGGATTAATGCTGTTAGACACAAAAAAAATTACTCTGGGATGGCTAGTGTTAGGAAGGCCAAATCTGGTTGGCAGAAGCATTGCTCTTAGCACCTGTGATGCACAGACACTCAGAACTTTTATACTAGTGGAAGGAAACGAAATAATAGATTTGTTTTTTTCCTCCTGTTTTTGTTCTAAATGAACATGCTAATAAATAGCAATTGGTAGCCAGCTGTTGCAAGTGCAAGTTGCCTTGCTTTTTTAGCTGTTGGCTGCTTTTTCCTCACTGAGTTTTTGTGTGGAAACAGTCTGGAACACCAAAAACAGCGTAAGGGTGTATTTCTAAATGTAATATATTTTCTGTCTCTCCTTATTCTGCGTTTTTGGTTTTTTAATTGGGTACAATATAGACCCATAAGCTAACTGCTGAAACCACAAATGCTTGTTCTAGTGTCTGTTGCTTCTAAATGTAAGTTGAAGAAAAACTGTTACAAAGGAAAAAAAACAACACAACCAACCACAGTAATCTTCATCCCCTTGGGTGGATGATGTGGTTGTAAGGGGCACTAAGTACCCGAGCTTTGATCTGTGTTGATAATGTTAAACAGCTCAAAAAAAAAAAATCAGATTGCCAGTCAGATTTTCCATTCAGTGTTTGTCATATACACTGGTGATGCCTGTTGATGATACTCAAGAGTCAAATATTACTGAATAATCCTCAGTTACTTCATTGTAATGGCATCAGACACACATTCTTGTATGCACAGGGTGGTGGTAGGGTTAAAGTTTTAGAGAGTATTGCTGAGGAAAGACCAATCTTTACTGTTAGCGTTACATCTGCAAATCTCAATGTTAAATTGCGCTGCTTGAAACGTTGTTCTCATCTACAAAAGCTGTAATTCACACAGCCAAGCGTATAAATCTTTTACTTTACAAAAACATGCGCCAGCACCAGAGACTTCTTGCTTTGAGAGGGTGGTGGTGAATTTCACTGATCAAAAACCTCAACCCCTTACTAATTCAACTGCTGCTTTGCCTCACGTAATTGGCAAAAGCTGATCTTCTATTAACCTATTCTTTGATTCATTCTCTGTGGGGTTTTAAGTGGGGAGGTAAGTGCCGTGGTGTGGTCCCTTCAACTTTCTCAATGGTCTTTTAGGCAAAGCCAATGAAGTGGACATGAAAGATGAGATTTTGGAGGATATGGGGAAAAAAGAAATCTTGCAGAATACTGAGCATGAGGAACACAAAGAGGAGTCTGAGGAGCAGGAAGTACAGACATTTCATGGTGATGAAAATACAAAGGCAGAAAAAATGGTTGAAGAACAGGACGCGCTGTCACCAGTCATGTTACTAGGTAGTAAGGTCACAGAACATACTCAAAGCCTTACAGAACATGTGTCAGGGAGTGCTTCTTCACATGACGATAGTGACACAGATGATTTCAGAAAAGAGACCGAATCTGTGAGCGCGGCGGTCCACCAGCCTCTAAGTGCAGAAGCTGGACACCATGACGTAAATGCAAGGACAAATCAGAACTCGGAGGTGGACTCTCTGCAAGGTCATCAGGTTTTTGAGACTCCTCAGGAAATGCCTGGTGACCTTGGTACAGAGCATGAACTGGAAGAAGCTTCACCCGAACAGGAAGAACGAGAGGATCTTAAAACTAGCCGTGCCCCGAGTGATACTGAAATGGATCAGGAAGCTGACATTGCAGGTGTGAGCTGTGAGCTGGCTTCTAACCAGGCAGGGCTGCCAGAGGTTAGAGTAGCGAGTTTGCTTAGTGAAGAGGTAGATGTGGAGAGTCACACTGAGGGACTCCAGCACCCAGAAGAAAGTGCTGAAAACAAGGTTACAGACGTGTTGGAGGAGAAGCTTGTTGGGAGCAAACACTGCAGTGATGAAAAAACTGATAAAATGGGAGGTGATATTGCTGAAGAAGAAAATGAGGTTGGGAACACAGCGCAGAGTCAGACGAGAGAAACAGGGTCTGTGGGTTTGGAGGGGACAGAGTCACAAGTAAGTGGTGTTCCAGGAGATACAAGTGAAAAGGAAAATGGAGGAGATGAGGCACACATCCAAACATTTTCTCCAGAGGACAGTCCTTTGGCACCATCAGAGGAACAAAACATGCAAGAGAAAACTGAACTTGAAAACACAGTGGCTGAGAAGGGCAGACAGAAGGAAGTATTAGCAGAAGAGCTGGAGATATGTTCAGATTCTGCAGGAACAGATAAGCAAGATAAGGCACCTGAGGAGGCTGTAGGCTCCGTTGCTGACGTAAACGGAAGTGTGCTGCAGCAGGCAGAGCCACACACAGAGGACATGAATGAGGTGACAACTCAGGAAACCAGCTCAGACCCAAGTTTTTTAGATGGCGAAGTTAGGGAGTTGGAAACAGGGGATGAGTCTGGGAAAGGAAAGGGAAGTAGGATGGAGGAGGTAGAAGATTTAAAGCCGAAGGCAGAAGTTCAGACAGTTCAGTGTAGTGCAGAAACAACAGATGATACAGCAGGAGAGAAAAATATTCCTTTAGAAGGTGAAGCGCAGAATGCAGTTACACAAGAGGAAGGTGAACCTGAAGAGGAGTCAACTGTAAATGTTAATGTAACTGCTGAAAACAAGGCTGATAAAGAAACTTTGAAAGAAAATGAGCAAGAGTTAGAGCTTGCAGACCACCATGGTGGTAGATTTGCTTCTGAGGAAGGTGCAAATAATTCCCTGGCACAGAAAGCTGAGCAAGATGAAAGTGTTAGTGAACAAGTTAAATTGGGGAATCAAGCAGGGGAAATGCTGGAAGATGATGGTGATGCATTTGAGTTTGATGAAGAGTCAAAACAGATCCTAGAAACTGATGAAAAATGTGATGGAGAGAAAGCTGATATGCAGAAAGGAGAGGGTGATGCAGCAAATGGTGCTGTCAGAAAAACTGCCCAAACAGACGAAGCCAGAGAAAGAACAGATGAAAGAGAAACTGAAGATGCCTTGACTGAAGATGACAGCTTGCAGCGTAAAGAAGGAGGTGAGCCTGAAGCAGCACAGTGCTTGCAAGGGGAAGCATCATGGAAAACTGATGAGAAGACTGATGTGATGGAAGATGAAATAAAAGAATCAAATTTTAGTAAAGTGGAAAAAGCACCATATGACAGTGTTTCAAAACAGGATTTAGAAAGTGCCGGCAATAACAGAGATGAAAGCAAAGAGGATTTTCAGGGTGGTCGGAGGGGTAAGGGTAGATCCAGAGATGACTGTACAGTATCCTAAGTTCAAAATCTCAAGGCTACACGAGTTACGTGCCATTGATCAGCCCCACGTACAGAAGCATGCATTTTGCACAGTACATCAGGCCTTAGGAATACTCACAGGTAGCTCTCATCATAATACAATGTTACGTAAGTAGTAATGATGCAAATATTAAATTACCCACTGACATACCTAGTCACAAGATACTGGGCGTGGCTTTGGTTTTGCCATGTCTCAGGTTAAAAATTTTTCACCAAAAGAGCAAGCTTCACAAATCGAGTACTCAGACTGTCTTGCAAGTAACGTACTTTTAGTGAGATAACTGCTACCTAAAGAATTTCCATAGGAAAGTCTTTTTTTTTTTTTTTTTTCCTAGCCTAGATGATAGATGTCTTGAATGTACTTATACGCGTTGGACCTACGTGAATTTACACATGTACTTCTGTGTACTTACACGTGTTAGAGCTACAGTAAATATGTTAAAACTTCATGAAGGAACTCAGTAGATCATCAACACTGATCTGATGTTGAAACTTCTTTCTGAATTATTAAAGCCTAGGAACCAATTGGGTTTTTTTGTTATTTTGGGGTTTGTTTTGTTCTTTTTTACTATGGAAAAAAGATACTCTCATTCCACTTTGTGTATTTCAAATATGGTCATATTCCAAAATGTAGTTAGATCACTGAGTCTACTGAGACACTTTGGAAGAACAATACACAATCTGAAGAAAGAGCAATATACGGGTTGTAGTTTGCTGAAAGGAATAAATATATACGTTTACTTCATATAGGCACTTTGCACCACAGTAGGCCTTTTACACTGTGTCTCACATGGGTTTTTTATTTTCCTGAAGAAGATGTCAATACACACTGTAAGGTGTGCATGATATCAAGTACTGTCTAGCTATGAAGATATAAAATATCTATTTTTCCATGAAGATTTTTGTTTAAAATTGCATTTCCTTACTGCATTATATATTTTTTTCAAACTAGATTTTGAAAGAATGTTTTTTATCTCTGGAAAAATCTTACCTCTTCCTTTCTGGAAAGAAGATAACTTTGCATGTCTTAATTCTTGTTGGCTATCAGACCAAAGACGATTGTTTTTCTGTACAGTAGCCTCCATGCCTTTTTGAAAAGCTGGATTCCTTTGAATTACTGGCATAAATTAGACACTTTGACTCCCCTGGTATACTTCTTCTTGCATCTTGCTAGTGCTTGGGAGGAAGAGCCTGTTTTGCATACTTAAAAATTCATTTAAAGTTGTTTTAAGCAATGAACATCCCAAAGAAATGCAAATTGAGGAGGTGGAGCGGGAGCGCTGTGGAAGGCTGTATTTGTGTTGATGTTACAAAGTTGATGGAATATGAACAGACTGCAAAATTTCAGGATGTATATCCAAATGTACTGAGCTGTATATAATTGAAATAAACATATTTTATACTTTAAACTGCCTGTCCAGAGAACTGTTTATAAACCTGTATAAATATTTCTTTAACTCCATATAATTTCAAAACCGTTTTTCTGCAGCTTTGTTAAATTTATTGTGTCGTGCTACATAGCTAGAAGAGCTATCTTAGTAGGAATGGGCAGACTTGATATTTGAGGCACCCTTAACTGAAAACCTGTAACAGGACTAAACCTGTACCTCTTGTCATATGGCTTCTCTTCAACCTGCAACAGTTGCAGTGTGGTTTCTGTAAGTATAAGCAGTTGTTCTTCATAAGGATTTGCACTACATAATCTAAAATTTTCTAGATTTTAAAAGCATCTCTTGTTACTATGTAGCAGAGATTTTTTTTTTTTTTTTAAGATTTGTCTCAAACATGCAACAGTGATGTCTGGATTAACGTTGAAAGTTGGATCTCATCATCCAAAAGAAATCGATAGATCTTGAGGAGTATATCCAACCCGCTATTGATGCGACAGCCGGATTCTTGCAGTTTGTTCTGAAGAGCTGCTTGGGGCTGCTGGTGTGACTTCAGGGGATGCCTTGCCACCCTCCAAGTACACTTCACCCTTTTCAGGCTTAATTACGTTGCTGGGCCACCCATGTGAATCCTTCAGGTTAAAAACAGCTGCTTCCCACCTCATTCTCCCCTCCAAGCAGGAAGAGACATCAAAGATCTGTGGCATCAAAGATCTTTGGGGATGTTAGGTCAGCTGTGCCACTGAAGCAGCGCCCTAGCTTGCAATACCTTGAGTCAGCTGCAGTACCAAGGTCATGAGAACTGCAGTTTGATTTACAAACTGGCCTTTACAACAGCAGAAGACACTGGCACCCACCACCACCCCTCTGTGTCATGCTCTTTCCCAGGTCTTCCCAGGGCCCAGCTCCTGCCATCAGCCCTCTGTTAAGCTTCTTTGCGTATGAATCGGTGCAGTAAGTAGCCTGGAAATCATGTTACCAAAGTTAAGTGAGGTGAATGTCACACTAATTATTCATCATACTTTCTTTGTGTGAGAAATAAGGATAATGACTGTTATAGATAAGAACTTTAATTAGCTGCTTTGTGTCCTAATTCAGTAGATTGCTTTTTTCTGCTCACTTGTTCTCGAGGTCCTTAGATCCTTGATTTGTTGGAAAAATGTCTTCTATGTGCAAAATTAAGGTGAATCTGCAGAGGTATCTATGAAACCTAAAGTAAGTTTTCTGTGTTAGTGTGGAGTTCCAAGATAAACAAACCGTAAGAGAGCCTGATTTATACAAGCAAAAAACTCTTCTTTGTGAATGGTAATGTCCGCGTGGGGTTCACAGATATCCATAATGAAGGAAGAGAGAAGTGACCATGAGATCAGATTTGAAGGTTCGTCCCAAAATGCTAAGGTCCATTTTGCAGGGAAAGGGTTTGGGGGAAGCTGTTGTGCTTCCTTGCTTGGAAACTGGCGGAGGTGTCCTTTCCTCAGGCAGAGGTAATTAACACCACCCTACAGCAGTGGTGGTGTTACTTGGCTCTGCGTGTGACTGAGTTATTTTCAGGATCAAGGTGATTTGGACCCTTTGGAGTCATTAAGATTCAGCTAATTTTTGTAGTGGCCTAGAGGACTTTTTCCTGAATCAGTTCTCGTTCTCTTTCCAGTACTTAGAACCCATTTCTTGATCTCTGCTGACCTTTGACACCCAACACTATCTCCAAGTGATCTCTGACTTTTCTTTTAGTGTTTGCTGTCTTTGCTTTCTTCATTGACCTTTATTTTTCTTGCCCATCTTGCACCTTTTACAGAATTTCTGTCTTAAGCTTCTTTTCCTTCCCATATAGATACATTAAATTGTTTTATTATTTTGAAGGGATTTATACTTTGTATATCTTGTATATCTTTGTAACTCTTGATAGTTGACAAAAATGTGGTTTGCTTTTATTTTGTTTTTCGTATCAGTGCTCAGGTGTTGATGCTGGGTGTGTTACCAATGGCTACAAAAACCCAGACACAGATAGGACTTGAGGAGGTTCAAAAAGAATGCATAGAACTGCTGAACTGGGATATTACTGTAAGATCTGTATTTGGGTATTGCATCAGAAGCCAAGTTTTAACTTGGGTTTATTCTGTGCTCTAGAATGACTGCTGGTAAATGGGAACTTGTGTACCCGGGAGGGGAATGGCATACCCCTTTATTATTAGCTAACGGACTGTAAGTGTCTGCTGGATAGAGGGACTTGCATTTGAAAACCTGTTTTCCCCATGATTTGATTCCATACAGGCTCTTTATTCCCTTTTCTGCGTGTGTTAACAAGAAAAAAGGGGAAACCACAAGACTTCGGCTGATTTGGGATTTAACAACAAACAAGGACTGGTATTTTTAAAGCTTTTTCAAAAATTCTGATGTCTACCAACAGAATTTACCTGGTAAAAGCCCACCAGCCTTTTATCTCTAATTTGTCAATTGCTTTCCTTGACTTTTACAAAAAGACCTTTTTCTTGAGTGACCTTTGGATTTTAACCATTTGATTAACAGGCCAAACCTTAGATGTGGAACTGAGCTCTGAACACCCTGGTTTCTGCACAGGTGGCAAGGGAGGCAAGCTAAATAAACCTGCAGTAAACACGCGTGTCAAACTTGTGGAGTAAGACCTGTCCGAGGTCAACATATCCTCTTCAAATAAGTATATTTGAACGCTGCGTTCCAGTGTACTTCTGTTTTGGTGTACCTGAACAAACTAAGGTTAATTAATGAGGTAAAGTAATTTTGGTGATAAGAAGACTTGTGCGTACCTGCTGAAATGTGTTCACATTTTGCACCCCTTAACAGGGAAAGAAAAAAAAAGAAACCACAAACAAATGATCTGGTTACCTACTTTCTAGTTCTTTTTTCCAGTTGTCTGTAGTGTGCACTTTATGAATGAATGCCACACCTATCCATGTGCTGACCTGTAGCACGTCCAAGTTCAAGTGTAGCACAACAGTTGGTCCACACTGCCCATCGCCTGCTTGATGTTTGACCGGGAGAACTGACTATAAAGGATTAAAGAGACAAGAATGTCTTACCAGACCGCTGTGTTTGAAACAAAGATAATTCAGTGAACAAATGTTTTTTCTCATTGTAATACTGGAGATAACAAAAAATGTCATTGCCATGTTATTGGAGTGAAGATCTTTAAGTGCTGAGAATGTGCTTATCTATCATTATAGACGTCTACTATGTTTTCATTTTGTTGAACTGTCAAGATTTGTGAGATTTTGTGTTGCAGTTGTGTTTGACCCTAGAGTTCTTGCATGCTAACCTAACGTAGAAGATTAGCCTCTTTGCATGCAGCTGGGTGCTGCTACTGCCGTGACAAGCATGTTCTGTGAGAATGACATAACCTCCCCTGGCTGCAGCCCCTTCCCAGCCCTGTCTGTGGCCTCATTTCCTGTGGTACGTGCATAACTACCTTCATCATTCATTTCACTAACCGTAACGGTTCGGTCGCGCGTCAGACACACTCTGAAACGTGCGGACTCAATCAAATGGGTGCTGAACTTTATGTTTTCTCTTTCAGACAGGCTGAAAAAACTCATTGATGAACGGGAATCCTTACTAGACCAGGTAATTGCAGGAAACTTGAAATGCTGCGTGTTCACTAAATCATAGAATCTGTTGGGCTGGAAGGGACTGTTAAAGGCCGTCTAGTCCAACTGCCCTTTAAGTAGATCAGGTTGCTCAGAGCCCAACAAGCCTGATCTTGAATGTCTCCAGGGATGGAGCCTCCACCACCTCTCTGGGCAACCTGTGCCGGTGTTTCCCTACCCTCATAATATAAAGAACTTCTTCCTGCTATCTAGTCTAAACCTACCCTGCTCAAGTTTAAAACCATTGCCCCTTGTCCTGTCACTACACATCCTTGTAAATAGTCCCTCCCCAGCTTTCCTGTAACCCCCTTCAGGTACTGCAAGGCCTCTATAAGGTCTCCCTGAAGCCTTCTCTTCTCTGGGCTGAACAGCCCCAACTCTGTCCTCGTAGAAGTGCTCCAGCCCTCTGGTGATTTTTGTGGCCCTCCTCTGGACCCACTCCAACAAGTCCATGTCCTTCTTGTGTTGAAGGCTCTGAATGTGTGATAAAAACAGGATAGATAAAGAAAATCAAACTAGCCCTAAAATAAGGTGAACTCAGGATACCTGGGAAGAAAACTATGACCTAGTATCCCCGCTGTGCGGTGCTAACCAGTCACGTTCAGTGTCTTTAGTCACCTGAAACTCTTTCTGCAGAGTTATTTCTGAAAAATAATACTTGACCAGGCCTCAAGAGGGAAAAACAAATATGGCTCAGAAATTGTAGAAGCAAATTTTATCTCTGTGAGTAGGCCTTCCCACCTGCTGGTTCCATGGATAATGGGCCATTCAGAAAAAGTGCTGGAGGAATGACAGTAGATAAAATAAAGTAAGGTAAATAGTGGATATAAAGCTTATTATAAACGCTTCAGCTGATCTAGTTCTGTGCAGGACAATCTATGCTTTCTTTCACAGACTATATCCTTGGCATTGAGACTTCACAATCATAGCAATCATAGTTTTGGGTGGTTTTAGAATGTTTTATGTGAACGTGCCTGCAAAACTTTTATGGCTTTTCTAAAGAAACAATCTTATTCCACTCGTTATGTTTGGTCTTGAATTTGTGAATAAGCACTGGTCCCTAAAATATGATGAGACATTTGCAAAAAAAAAAAAAGTTTTTTTAATTTAAGTTTCAAAAAATGTATAATTTGTTTTCTAATACTTGAGTGAATTTGAGTACCGAGTCACAATTTTTCCTTACTAATTTTAATAACTAGTTATTTTGTGTCCTTCAGATTAAAAAACTAAAGGGACAATTGGAAGAAAAGCAAAAGAATGGCAAGATGGAAAACACACCGTCAGAAGATGAAGTTCTGGAAAATGGGACAGATATGCACATGATTGACCTCCAAAGTGAGCTGCATTTTGATTTTAAGAGAACTTTTGTGTCCTGCATGCGAGCATCAAAATGTATCTGTACAGTAACCACGTGGCTCTAACTAAAAATGAGCCATCAGTTCTGAGGGAGCTTTCAAACTGGGAGCCAGCTGTGTGCCTCTGCTAGAGGTGAGGGAACGATTATCCTTTGGTTGAGCAAGAAATGTCCCTTCTGTGTCCCCGGGACAACTGGGGTGAGTTGCTGGTTAATTCTGCTTTCGAGCAGTCAGAAAGGGAATCGGGGAGATTGGGTATGGCACCTATCTGCTGGGCATTTTTTTGGAAGGGAGCACTTGCTACCCTTCCACTGCCCCAAGTGGATTCCTGTAGCATGGAAATTTTACAACAGATCTGTTAGACGCTGTTTAATGCTTGTTCTGACATCTCTGATAACTCTGCGGTTCTTTTAGGAGATGCCAACAGACAGATCAGTGATCTCAAATTTAAACTAGCAAAGTCTGAGCAAGAGATAACAGCATTGGAGCAGAATGTAAGTTTCTGGCTTGTTCTGTTTGTTTAGGCATGGTGAGAATGCAAAGAGAAAGTGTATTTTATTATATGATAAATGAAATCACAATTACCGAGATTTTGCCTTAAAATAAGAAGCAGGAGCGCTGGAGAATCAGGATTGTTGCACTTAAGTCGTAAAGACTAAAATGCTTTCATTTACTCATAGGGAAGAATAATATCTTTACCGAAGGAAAAACCTTCAAAGACAAATGTATATTGAGAGCACTTACTGAACTCTTTATAATACTTTCTTATGCCTAGCTCTCGACAATTTTTAAATGGCTCCTGGCATCTGATGTAGTATATGTGGATTTTATAAAAGACTGTTGCAGAGTATGGAAGCAATACTCTTGCTGAGATTAAATTTAGTCAATGGACTGTACTTTTTGTTGCTGGAAGCATATTAAGTATCGATATGTGTAAAATGGCTGGAGTAATTTACCATGGCCAGTAAGTTACCATGGTATTTTATTCTACTCAAAATAAGCCTTTATTTTATTAAAGAAAAGTGAGCAACACTGGTTATTGCTTAACTACTAGTGGAAGCCTTCAGGTAACTTCTTGGCACCTCTTTTAATTCAACAATTTTGCCTTCACCTTAGGTAATACGATTGGAGGGTCAGGTAGCGCGATACAAAACTGCTGCTGAAAATGCTGAAAGAGTAGAAGATGAACTGAAAGCAGAGAAACGCAAACTACAGAGAGAGGTAACTCTAAATGCAAATTGTCATAGGCTAGCGGGCAGCCTGCACTGCGTGGCTGCCTGGTGCACTTTAGAGGAGCAACTTGGCAGAGCAAACAATAAATGTCTGCTTTTGTTTTATTGCTTTAGTTACTCATTCTAAACTTACAACCATACTTTCAGTACTCAAACTGGAGTCACAGCTGCAAGCTCCCACTGCCATTTCGCCATTCCTTCCTAAAACTGACTGGCAGCGCCTTGCCGTGCACCAGAGCTGATTTGCTGGAGCAAACTCAAGTTCTGGTTGTACAACTTGAATCTAGGAGCAGCCTTCAAATGCTCAGGTTTACCTGAGTGTTCCCAGGGTTTGACATCCATCAAGCTGAAGAACTCCTATTTCTACTTTGCTGTCCTTTTCCTTTTGTTGTGCCTGAAGGCTCATTACTTTGGACGTTACAAATTCTGGCTTTATAAATACAAATGACTGGTCTTTTTAGAACACGCGATTCAGAAATCACAGCAGTAGAAAGCTGGAAATCCTCCTGTAAAGTTAATTTGGGCGCTTCATTATGTAAAAACAGTGCCACACCTTACCAGGAATGGCAGTTTAAACATTCAGGCTTCAGAATCTAAACCTGAGTGCTAAATAGACATGAATTGTTCTTACTGAGCCCGTTTTTCTTGCTCTGCCCATCTCTTCATGCCTGCTTGCTGTAGTGTGTCAGTCCTCAGGCTCTGTTTGTGTTTCCCTCTTGGAAAACATTGCATCTTCAAGCTGTCTGTAATTCTGACCTTGTCTTACCAAACTCCATGTGCTCCTCAAGTAGCTGCTGCAGCCAGCTTAAATACATTTGTCAGCTTCTTTTACAGCTGCCTCCTGAGGTTTTGGGTGGTTTTTTTCAGCGCGGCTCTTATTTTTCTAAATACTCCTTCTGCTCTGCCACCTGTAAATATTGCTCGGTGCATGCAGTACACTTCTCTGCACATCACCCCATCCCATGCTGGGTTTTATATAACGCCAAAGCACTAAAGTCACACCAGTGGCTGTAGTTCTGGGAACCAGAAACATAAAATCCAGACGGCGAGGCAGGCGTACGTCACCCAGCGGTTATCTCTGAGCATCCCTGCCTCTGAGGTTGAAGCAGACTCCAAGCCATTTGTTCAACATTCTGTAAATACCTTGGATTCTTGGCACTGTGCTTAGAAAATATCTCTGTGTGTGGCCTTCAGAGCAGTTACACAACATTTAAATTCTGCTAACATGCATTTTTCAACTTCTTTATCTTGTAAGGAAATTGCAGCAGTATGGTCAGTTAGTGTCGGTAACTACAAACCTTGCTTTATATTTGGCAAAGGGAAAATGCTGCAAAAGTTAACATGTTCTGCTCTTTTTCTCTGCTTCCTTCAGCTTCGTTCGGCATTGGATAAAACTGAAGAGCTTGAAGTCAGCAATGGTCATCTAGTAAAACGCTTGGAGAAGATGAAAGCCAACCGGAGTGCTTTACTGTCTCAGCAATAACCACCACCTTTCCATGGAAACTGCTCCTTGACAGAATCAGAACAACGTTGCAGATGCTTCTGTCTCTTGCTGCCCGGGATGCTTTGTGTCATGCCTTCTGAGAACAGACAAGCCCAACATTTGCTACGTGCCACACAGCTGTGGTTCCCTCTAAGCAGATTTAAAACTACTGCACTATATAGATACAGGAGTAGCTGATCCAAATGGCTGTGCCAGCGGGAGCCATTCTACACCGTTCTTTGGGGACACGCGAAGTACAGCATCTGTCTACCATGCAAAGAAGCACAGCGGGCATCGCGTTAAACTCTCCATCCAGAAGGCACAGCAGCCATTTATTGCCGTTTAAAATGGCATTCAAAGACAAAACACTTTTAACTGGACTGGAATTTTGTGTCTTGCTGAAAATTTAAAAAAAGAAAACCAACAAAAAAAAACACTGTAAGTTTTGGACTTTCTCATGGCAGTATCTGTAATTTAGTGACTACGGTAGAGTTATTCATAGTAGATTTTTCATTTACAAATCACTGTGGAACCACAAGCCATTACAAAGCAAAACTCCTTCAGTGGAAACCATGGAAGAAGATGGTCTTGGAAGCAAAAGTGACCTTAAATGACTTTGCCAATAAAACAAAGGTGTTTGGAGGGATTTTTGCACCAGTGGAATCATAAGACTATTTTATTTCAGGGTAAATAGGCAATAGCTCCATTGAATTTTCAACCTTTATTTGTATTATTTAATCTTTGCTCTTGGAGTTGAAGTAAACTACTTTCAAAGGATGTAAAGTTGCATTAATAAACCAGCATAAGGCCGTGTTGTAAGAAATGGTGAGTTTTGCACTTAGATCACTCACTTTGGTGCATTTGTCCAAGCAAGTGTCATTTGCTTAAACGAAATATGTAATGGGTTTTTTACATCAGAAACTATCTACTTGGTCCATGAACTACTAGGAAACTATGCCGCTACAAAATACAAAATTGGATTTTTAAAAAAGTAACTAATAAGTAAAGAAGCACTTTAGAAACTATTACTGCCTATGGTTTTTCTACAGATCTAGAAGTAGTGAATTGCTTCCTTCTAAGGTCATGATAAAGGTTTTCCACTTTTCATGAAAAACAACACAACCAGTTAAGAAGTTGCCGGCAATTTATTATACACAACTAGCACTACAGCTCTGGTTTATTGGAAATTATTCTGAATGTACTGCTCAAAGGAGAACAGCAGTTACCTGAAAAATAAAGCTATCCTTCCTCCTTCAGCCCTAACAGAAAAGCTTGCAAGTAGGGCAGGTGACTGGTCCCTCAGGAACCTGCTCGTGCTGTGAAGCAGCATCTCCTCTTCAACAGGAGCAGCAACCTTCTGTCCCTGCTGACTGCCTCAATAGATACGGTTTTATTAAGCCAAATCCAGACCCAGGAGACCATTTCTTTTTCACTTGGTCTTCAGACTCCTCTGGTCCAGATCTTCCCCTAGCCTCTTCCTCGCAGACTGGAGGTTAGAGCGTAAACCGCTGCTATTTTCATCGTAAGAGGATCGCTTGCATCTTCTTAGAGCACCTTCACAATTTAAATAAACCAAAAACAGTGTCTGAATGTGTTTCTCTGGTTTGGCCAGAAAAATAACACCTTTCTCTTCATCTCTTCTGCGTGCACTCGGAAATTCAGCGATGAAGTCCTGAAATCGATATTCCAGGAAAAGGATGGAGAAGGCTTTTTCTGTTTGCCCCAGGGGAAATAAGTATGTCGTTGCTGATCAAACGTGGTGAGACATGAGGATGAAAGGAATCTTTTAAATGAAATTTCCACTCCGGCTAGGGCTTTGGGTTCTTTTACTTTTTTGTGGTTTTGAGAGGGACATTCAGGTGCAGAGCCAGGTTTCTTGTGGAATACCTCAAAACCGCTGTGGATACTGTTTTACGATGTTCTGTGGTTGACGCATGTAATTTCTGGTGTTCAAAGCCTCTGGGGCCTAAAAAATGAACTAAGAGTTTTTAAGAATGCAAGCAAGCGTGCTAAATAGAATATCTTACTAACTGAAGATAAGGGGTGTGATTGCCACCAGCCACCTTTTTATTTGTAGTAGCGGTGAAAACTCTCTCTCCTGCAAGATTCAGGAGAAACAATCTAGCAACTTAGGCATTGGTCCAAAAGGCTAAAAATAAGACTTTGCTCATCAAGAAGTGATGTGTTTCTCATCTCGAAGTAGACTGCATCTCCCACCCCATAACCATTAACCTCATGACAGAAATCAGATGTGTACTTCAACCTGGATATGCTCTTAGTGGAAATCTTCGTGTGTGATAAAGTAGCTGAACGTTGAAGCCACTTTTTTTTAAAAAACAATCCCCCCCCTAATTTTCAGTATGACTTAGGTTTAGAATAAGGGAAGAAAAAGTACTGGTTGTCTTACTGCAAACTGTTTTATGTTTTCCTGTGAAGAATGTACAACAACAGGGCTCTGAATGGTAATAATAGCACATGCCCCGGTCCTTTTAATTGCTCCCAACAAGAAAGCCTCGGCGTCCAGCCCGCTGACTCGGAGCGGCGCCGAGGTGGTGGCAGCCGGCGAGGAACAGCTCCTGGAGGAACCAGGAGGGCTTTTCCTAGAATTTGTATTTAAAGCTGTTACCCTTTGGTTTACTTTTAAATGTTAAATAATTTTATTGTTTGCAAATGGAATGTTACCCCAAAAAAATGGGTTTGGTTTGTTGTTATTTTCTTTTTTTTTTCCAGTCCAAACTGTTAGGAGATAGGAGTGTGGAAAAGGAAATTCATTAGCAGAACTCGCCAATAAAAATGTCACTTGTTTGGGTAGTTTTTATGGAGTGGTCTGTCATGATAATATTACTGGTAAAAATTCTCTTGGAAAATACAGACTTTTTGGATGATACAGGTGTTAACAGCTCATTTTTTAATACATTGCTGCAGCCAATTGTGAGCAACACAGGTTGTAAAGTGGGCAAAGTCGGGGTCTTCTGTAAGGGCACTGGTGTGAGATGTAGAATCATAGACTGGCCTAGGCTGGAAGGGCCCTTAGAGATCATCTAATCCAACCTCCCTGTCATGGGCAGGGACGCCTCTCAACTAGATCAGGCTACTCAAGGCTCTGTCCAACTTGGCCTTGAACACCTCCAGGGAGGGGGCTACCACAGCTTCTCTGGACAATTTATTCCAAAGTCCTGCCACCCTCGTACTGAAGAATTTCTTCCTAAGGTCCAATCTAAATCTATTCTCCTTCAACTTAAACCCACTTCCCCTTGTCCTGTCAGTGGACACTCTTGTAAAAAGTCCCTCCCCAGCCTTCCTGCAGGTTCCCTTCAGGTATTGGAAGGCAGCTCTTAGGTCCCCCTGAAGTCTTCTCTTTTCCAGACTGAACAATCCCAGCTCCCGCAACAACCCCAGCCCCCGCAGCCTGTCCTCGTAGCAGAGGTGCTCCAGCCCCTGGATCATGTACCTCCAACTCTTAACATTTTCATGGCTGGGTGCACTTTGGGAGGGGGATGACAGGGGCAGTGTCCTAATCGGATTCATTCTCCACTTAAGGAGTTCTTTGGGTGAACATGCAGGTTCCCCACTTCGTGACTTTCCCTCAAAAAGCCTTCACAACGGGGGGACAATTAGCTTTGTCAGTGTCAGTATTGATTTTCATCGTGTAAGATGACTTACACGAAATACATTGAGGTGGGTTTTGGTGCTCGTGTCTGCTCTGAATGCTCTGAACAATCGACGATGGGCGTTTGGCGGAGGGAGGCC